GATCGAGAAGTCGGACGACTTGACGGCCCAGTTCTACTCGGTGGTTCCCTTTGTCGACTCTGTCATTTGCTGTCGAGCGTCGCCGGCACAAAAGGCGCTGATGGTCAAGACTGTCCGCTCCCAGCTACGAAAGTTAAGGGGCCGGATGGGTCACGGTCTTACGCTCGCCATTGGTGACGGCGCCAACGACTTGGCAATGATCTCTGCTAGCCATGTCGGTGTTGGCATCTCTGGAAAGGAGGGGTTACAAGCTGCTCGAGTAGCCGACTATGCCATCGCTCAATTCAGGTACCTTCAGCGACTTCTTCTCGTGCATGGGCGATGGAACTACGTGCGTACAGCCAAGTTCATCCTGTGTACCTTCTGGAAGGAGATGTTCTTCTACCTCCCCACGGCCCTATATCAGCGCTACAACGGTTATACAGGTACTTCATTGTACGAAATGGCTAGTTTGACTGTCTTCAACACGCTATTCACGAGTCTGTGCGTCATCTGTCTTGGGATCTGGGAACAAGACCTCAGCGCAGATACCTTGCTTGCCGTTCCCGAGCTTTATGTGTACGGTCAGCGAAACATGGGTCTAAACCTAGCCAAGTATGCTGGATGGATGCTGTCAGCGGCAATTCAAGGCGTATTGGCATACTGGGGCGTCTGGGCGGGTTATGTCTGGTTTGCGCACTCGAGTGACCAGGGTCTTTACGCCGTTGGCAACTTAGCGTTCACCCTTGGCGTTGTCTGGATCAACTACAAGTGCTTGTAAGTGGAAGATGCAGGCGTTTCCTTGCCTGGAAACCAAGACTAATTCTGTCGCAGCATTCTCGAGACGCACCACAAATCGGGTGTCGTGATGGGATGCTTCCTCCTCACCTTCTCCGGATGGTGGGCTTGGCAAGGATTTTTGTCGTCGATCTACACCCGCGCCCCGTCAATCTACGCCGTACGTGATGGTTTCTCAAAGACCTTTGGTAGGGACTGGACATGGTGGCTGACGCTGATTGTGATGGTTACTCTCTTTATCCTCATGGAGACCATTTTCCGCACCCTTCAGCGCTCTCTCATCCTCGCGGGGATGTGGAGGTGGCCTTGGGTTCGCAAGGAGGACGACGTTTGTGCGGATGAGTGGCGTTTAGAGCTCTGGCAGGAGCTTGAGAAGGATCCTGCTGTGAGGGAGAGGCTGAAGAGGTTGGCCAGTGATGAAGATGAGGAGGTGGAGGATTGCGGGGAGGATGTTGTGGTTGGTGAAGCTGAGAGGGCAGCTTGAGTCATTCCTTTGTGAGAGATACCCCGTCTGTTCTATACACTGGTTTAAAGGCCTGAATACGTGCAAACTGTTTTTATCCAACTGAACCACGTCTCCAGCACCAGATTCCTGACTCACATGGGAGGTACGTACTGAGGGCCTGAAGCTTTCGATAGATGAAGGAAGGTGATGGCACCCTGTATTGAATCCTTCCCGTCGTTACACACTTTTCTGTATGACGAGTTTCTGTAAACGCAACTACTATGACTTGTATCATGCTTCAAACACAGGCTGTGCATGAGGTGGAGAGGCTCATGGGTATGGGGGTCGGTGAGAAAAAGACAATACTCGGCTGAAGGAAGACCATCCAGGGGTATCTGGAGTGACGGTGCATGTGTTGCCAGCCTCGAGTCTGGTGCGAAGATCGCTTCAAAAGTACAGCTATGGCTTCCCACCTGTGCAGTTGCTATCGACAACCCCGGCGATGCCGGAACACGGCTACCCACATCGGACCCGAGTGCCCCACACCACGGAGCACCGGCCCGTGTGGCAGCTTGCAGTGCCGTGGCGGAGGACAATGCACTATAGCCACGACCAATCATTTACGCCAAATTACGACAGACCAGGACGGAACTAGTCCCATACCCATCTGACGGGTAAGGTTCCTGGTTGGTCGGACGGCGCCATAAGCACTAAAACCTGCCATCTTCCCCCTGTGTTCAACTTGGAGGTATAAAGTTGCAAGCGACACGAGGTACCTACATAAAGAGCATTCTCTGCCGGAAAATCCGTTTCAATTGCGCCAGAGTTTCGATGCACACATAGATCCGGCTTAAGACATCATGGCTAGCATTCTGGGGCTCGACGATGGCTTCGTGCCCTCAGTTGCACTGCTCACCGCCATCACTGTGATGCTGTACCTCGCCTATCTCATCAGATCGCCCGTCACCATGGACGTTAAAGAACCGCCTCTATTGCGCCCGACAGTTCCCTTCATCGGCCACATCATCGGTATCTTTCAACACTCGTGGGAGTATCTTGACCTTGCCTAGTAAGATTCTCGTCGGCAACCCTGGTGCGTGGCACAGCGCCAATACTGAATGCCTCTGCCAGTGCAAAGTCGAAAGCTCCCATGTTTACCCTGCCCATGCTAGGCGGTAAGATGTACGTCATAACAGAACCCGAACTCGCACAAGCAGCGCTCCGGAACCGCTCCCTCAGCTTCGACCCGTTTCTGAGAGACCTCATCAAGGGGATGGCTGGCGCCAGCGCGCAGACTATGAAGGCGTGGGATGATCCGGCGTTTTACGGCCCTTGGGTGAAGAGTATCTACGGGGGTATGGCGGGGCAATCTCTTCTTGGGCTCAACATCTCTGCCGTGGGAGGGATTGCGACTGCGTTGAACGAAATTGGTGACAATGTCGAGGTTGCGGATCTGTACATGTGGAACCGAAAGCTGTTCACCCTAGCCAGCACGGATTCGCTGTATGGGAGTAAGAACCCACTGAGGGCGGATAAGAAACTCATTGAGGCGTACTGGTAAGTTCCTTCAGATGATACTCTAACTTGAAATGAAGCGGTCTGACTGTGAGTAGGGACTACGAAGCCGACGTCAACAAGCTCATGCTGGGCATCTTCCCCTCTCTCGTCGCACCAAAAGGCTACCGCGGCCAAGCCCTCTTCCAAGAAGCCTTTAAATCCTTCTTCGATTCCCAGCTCCACGAGGGCGGCGACGTGCCATCCCTCGTCAAAGATCGTCGGAGACTGAGCATGAGCTTTGATATGACTTCAGCAGAAGCCGCCAAAATTGAGTTGATCTTCCTCCACGGCGCCATCTCGAATACTTTCCCTGCATTCTACTGGTTCTTCACCCGAGTGTTCAGTCAGCCCGCGCTTCTCTCGAGACTCCGCGATGAGGTGCAGGGCGTCATTGAGGAGAAGAGCCGCGATGTTGTCCATGGGGAAGAGAAGAAAGTGTGTGTGCTGCATATTGAAAAGTTGGAGGAGAGATGTCCGCTGCTCATGTCGTGCTTCCGCGAGACGCATCGGTTGTATGCCGCGGGTGTGCTCGCGAGGAAGGTCATGGCTGATACGACTGTTTCTGATGGGAAGATGAGCTTCGTCGTGAAGAAGGATTGGCAGATTTCTGCACCGCAAAAGATTCTGCAGACTGACTCTGGGATCTGGGGAGATGATGCGTTGGAGTTTATCGGGGATAGGTTCTTGAAGGTTGCGGAAGAGAAGGGGGAGGCGATTGTTAATGTTGCTGTCCGAGGGTTCCTTGGCTTTGGGGGAGGGAAGCACATTTGGTAAGTTACTTGTTTTCACAATCCTTCTGTCGATGAGTGTGTTCAAACTGACAATGGGCATATAGCCCCGGCCGGTACTTCGCGAGTGGTGAGCTGTTGGGTTCCCTTGCGCTGCTGGTGGCTGGATTTGACGTTATCACTTCAGATGGGGATGCACTTGTGGTTCCAAAGGTTACGGCCGTGCCTCTGACCGGATCTTTTGGAAAGCCGGTGCCGGGCAGCGACCTCAAGGGCCGGATGCGCAGGAGAGCAGGGTGGGAAGATACCAGGTGGGAGGTTACTGCATAGTTGATGATCGCCTCCAGGGGACGAAGGCTGAAGGGAAAAAAGGGTGAAGCAAAAGTTCGATGAAAGGACCTAGCTAAAAGGGCATAATTTATCTTCTTACGTCAGGCCTTTCTATGCATGTGGTTGTCTCCAAGTAATGTACATGATCCTACCTGTCATTCGTCTCTTCTCTCGAGTTTCCAAAAGGATTCTGAGACATCTAGTAAGTACTTCCAGTCTCTTCCGGTTGACGTACTAAAGTATCCTTAACATCTCTTCTTCATAGTAGAAAGGCCTCTTTCTCACCGTAGCGCAAACAGTATCAGATCCTTCGCAAATTTCAACAACTCTCTCTTACACATATTCTCTTCAACGGCATGCACTACTATAGAAGTAACTGGATGCAAGTTACCGACATGAGTCCCAGGGCTTTTGTTTAGATCAAAAAGACCACATCAAACCCTGGCCAGATAAAGCCCACCAACTATCTAGAGGATCCCTATGTTCTTGCCTCCATTCTTCATGTCCTCTTCCTAGCCTTCGCCAAACTTCCACCTACTCTGCTTCCGCCGAAACACTCGTTCCAGAATATTCCGCTCTTATACAAAAAGAAAAGAATGTGAGCTAATAGTATGGTCTTCGAGGTGAAGTATCACTTTGTTGTGCGCGTGGAGGGTCTGGGGCGTAGAATTATCACTAAGCATTGTATTCCTTTCTCGAATTGTCCATATATTTATTTACAGAAGTGTCTTCTACCCAAGGCTTGTACTCTTGAATCCTTACACAGCACTACCCAGTACAACGACCAACCCCTAGATATTTACTATATTCAATCCATTGCCTTCCATTCCGGCATACTCTGTCGTCACACCACAGAAGGTGTTTTGTTTTCTCTTACCGAATGTGCCTAATGATTTTCGAGATAAAAATACGTGGGCGTGGAAATGATGCCATTGATATGTTGTGTCACAGCCTCTACATTCAACGTCATGACAATTCTCGGTGCCAAATGGTATGAACATGGTTTTATCGCATTTGCTTTCTCTGGCCAGGGCCTTACAAGACCACGACTCAAGTTCGCACCCTTCTACGGGAGATTTGGCACCGAAGGCCGCGCCTACTCGACTATTCGTCCCTAGGCAGGAGCAACTTCGGGGGTCAAAAGGCCTTAGGAGTTGCCCATCGTTATAAGTGACATGTGGGCAAAGTAGGTCGCCAAACTCTTGACCAAATGCTCTCAGCTCTTGGTAGAGACGAATATCTGTGACTTGTTCCTTCTCAGTCACACGAAAGACTGGCAGACACCAATGGAGACCCAAAGAGTGTTTAAAATCTCCATTCCCATGTCATGGTCGACTTGGTACACATGTCTTGAGTATTACTCGAGGGGCGTACCATGGAGTGAAAGAAACCATATCAGTGGGGTCGTACTTTGCTAGCACCGAAGAAGCTATGTCTCTGCAATCTTTGCACCGCGCGAAGCAAAATCTATCTCCCATCTTCAGTAGGGCGGTGTCAACTCCTTCTTCGTTCTTGATTGCCCGGCGGAGTGAGGATGGTGACACCGCGATATGGGGGCAAAGTCGAGCCACCCCTTCAGAGCCAATACACCTGCATGTTTCGGAGGGTTGATTTCTTTGGTGATAAGAAAAATGCAACTTCGGGTGCCGGTGTCCGCACTCGGAGCAGAATAGAAATTTGCTGCAGTAGAAAAGCCAGCATGATCTGGAGAAGTCGGGCATCTTCCTCCGAGTTGAACAGGCGACGCAAAATCCAGTTTCCTTTACCCGCAGTCTTGTCTCCTTGTTTGTAGATATCTTCCCCGTCATCCTCGAATGCAACAATCTTACTCGAATATGATCATCCTTTTTGATACAGTGAAATTTAGCGAACGTTTTACCTTGATAGATCCCCCAGAAGGTGAAAGACACTTGGCGTAGCATATAAATGTCGACAGTATCCAGTGTTTGCATGATAAGTAACAGCAACTCGTCTAGTAGCCTTATGAGAAGGCTGGGGCGCAGATTTCCATCGAATTTGATCTCCCAGCTCGATGGCCCACCTAATGGCGTAATGGGTTGTGTTCCAATCCTTTCGATCTGGGGAATTCTGATGTGGTCAGAAACTTCTGGGGTTTCCTGGCCCTCTCTCAAAGCGACTTGTCTTGACCTGTTCACTCTAGGTGATACAATAGGAGAGCTGGTCGTTTCGATCGACGGAGTGTTGGTCTGATTCGTAACTTTGGGGGCTTCCTGGGCCTCATCTATTTCCGATTGACTTGAGTATTTCGCTCCGGACGGTAGAGTACAAAAGCCGGCCGTTTCGGCTGAAAACTCCGCCGGCTTTCTACTCATTCACTTTTCGACACCGTCTTTGACCAAGCCACAGAGTCCGACAAATGGGAGGCCGAAGAGACCCATCTCGATCGCGAAGAATTCAAAATTGATCTTGGTGCTCGATGGTTCGAAAATGTTCCAAAAGCGAAGAGTGCGTATTTAGGTTTGGGAGTAAGTGAGTCGTAGGCGAGTTCGATGTTTGATTTATCGTGAAACAATACGGCCTTCGACAAATGGCAAGATTAGCATAGCGTCACTATCAAGGTGCCATTCTTCCCGAACCTTCCACTCACGTGAGCGCCCTAACACTACCCATCTCTAAACTCTGCACTTCTGGTCATCAGGGTGATTCGTGATATGGCAGCGCCGAGATGTTGAGGTTTTCCTTTCGGCCTAGAAACGACTTGATATTTTGCCGACATTACTCCGGCCAGTCAGTGGCTCAATCTGTGTCTAATCTGGCTCTTCACGTGGTGGCTGTGGCGTATATGTCCAGGGACGACCAGGGCACGTGACGAATGTATTGACGAGACAGGTATGAAGTGGCTTCTATTACTCATTCAGATTGAGCGCTGCGAGAAAGGACCTAACTCTAGAATGGTTGCAACTGTGAGTTCGTATCATGAGGCCGTCCGGCGTCTGATTCGTAGTGCCGGTGGTGGTGTACCAACCGTGATACAGAACCAACAGAGCTTCGTTGACCTTAAGCGGACTAGTCACAGTATTTGCGGCTGTCTGTCTTCGACATGTGAATTTCTGCATAATCTGGCAAGGACCTAGTCTGGAACCCCCGGATCGATAGCATCTATGTTGATGGTATGAGAGCTTCACAGTGCAGCACTGTTTCCATTCAAACTCACATGATGTGCCAAAGGGCATAATTTCAACCCCTGTGTCTGTCAGAGGTGATGTTGTGTAATCCACAGCGGACGCAAGTCCGCTGCCGCGAGTATTGTTGAATTCGTCACCGCAGCTTCTGCGACGCAAACATGGAATTATTCAAACCGCGGTGAAGAGAACCTGCGCAAGTTCTCGTTGGGACAGGGGGTACTCTTCGACTGCAGGGCCGAAGCAAACAATCAACTTGCGGCACAGAGCCAACCAGCCAGGATGAATCGTCGGAGCCTCTCCCAAAGGGTATTGGAGAGGGGTAATCGATCGTAAAATGACCAGACCTTGAAGCGATTCAATTTACCGTACGGCCGAGATTTCAGGTGGATCGGAATGATATGTCCGTAGTAGCTGGCGAGAGATGCTGCGTCCTTGGTATTGTCTCTCTGTGGAATGCAGCAAGTGCTTCTCGAAGGAATTTGATCGTCTCTCGATGCGTTCAGCTGCGTGTCCTCCGACGTTGGGTCGCACCTGAAGTCGCAGCCACGGTCCCGTTTCGTCACGTCTTGCGTTCTCACACAGCAAATGAGACATCAATAAGGGCCAAAAGTCTTTTTTTACTGACAAAAACAGAACTTTTACTTTGGTGGTGAGACCTGTGAAATCTAAACTTAGACATACGATATCTTGAACACCTATCTCTTTTCGATGTCCGCATCATTCCCATTCACGACAGGCCCCTCGGCCTCTGAATCCTTGGCCGGCTCGGCCCTGCCGACAATCTCTGAGCTACGGAAAAATACCACCACAATCGTAAGAGAGGTGATGCCGAGCGCAAAGTTCATCCAGTTGGCGGCCCGCAGTCCGTCCAACGACGGTTGGTCCCACTCCAACACCGGGCCCGCTTCCTCAACCGATACACCCCTGGCCTTGGCCATGATGGCCGTCTGGACGGCTGTGGAGATGGCCAGGCCGATGGAACGGCCAACTTGTCCCACAGAGTTGACGAGAGCGCCGCCAAGAGCTTGGTCCTCCTGCGGCAGGGCCTTGGAGACAAACAGGATGAGGGTGGGCCATGCCATGTCCGCGCCGATGACTGACAGGATCATAGCAGGTAGTCCGTAGGCGAAGTATGATGTGCTCGTGGGGATTGGTGTTGCGAAGAGCAGACACGCGATGGAGACGGAGACGTTGCCGCACACGAGGAGTATGTACGTTGGCACACGCGAAATTAGAAGCGCAGCTGCCCAGGCCACCATAATCCCGCCGATGCCAGTGGGAAGGAAGTAGAGCGTGGTCGTGAGGATGGACTTCGCCTGGTAGTCCTGGTAAAAGTAGGTCGCAAAGATGAGGAAGTTATTGAACGAGGCGAAGAACATGGCCATGATGGCGAGCGCGGCACAGAACTTTCCGCTGTGGAAGATGGAGGTCTTCATGAGTGGAAGGCGATCTGTCTTGAACTCAAGGTGACGCTGCCAGAACCAGAAGACTCCCATAATGATGAACGAGACGACGATGAGGACCGAGATCCAAGGAGTCTTCCAGCCAACGACGTTACCCTCAGTGAGAGCCAACATCAGGGCCAGGAGGCCAATGGTGATCAAAGCTCCACCGATCCAATCAACCGATTTCCTCGCGCTGACACCCTTCTTAGGCAACGTTGGCGCAACGGGAGGGATGAAAAATATGCCCGCGACAGCGACTAGGCCTGCGAGGATAGCCATGACGCCGAATACCCACTTCCAGTTGGCGTATTCGGCGATGAAGCCAGATAGAATGGTGCCAAAGGTGCTTCCCAGGGGTACGCCAGCTCCGTATGCCACGAAAGCATACGTCTTTGCCTTTCCAGGCGGGAATGTTGTCCCAAGGATTCCAATAGCAGTTGGTACGTTGGCGGCGGCGCCTAGACCTTGTAATCCGCGGAAGACATTGAAGGCGATCTCGTTGGGGATGAAGGGGTTGGCGATGGTCATGACAGCAAGCCAGGCGGTACCAGCGATGAAGATGATGCGCTTGTCATAGATGTCGGCGATACGACCCCAGAGGAGTAGGAAGCATCCGAATGTGAGAGAGTAGGCTGAGACGATCCATTGGAGACGCGACTCTGGGATTCCAATGTCCCTACCGATAGTGGGGAGAATAATGACCACGGCTTGGACTGAGAGAGTCTAGACGTCATCGTTAGAAGGTTCGGTAGACATCGTGTCACGAAATACTTACGTTCATGAAACTTGCACCGCTGACAGTTGTGACGAGGGCGATGCTACGGGCCTTGGACATGCCCTGCTTCTCTGGCCCGCTACTGACACTGCTGGACTCATCGTCGGTTTGGAATCCCTGGCTACACATGACTGCTGATGTCTGAACATCTTTCTCCGGATCTGTCACATCACCAATGTTGTGGGTGACGATGATCTCAATGTCCTTCTCTTCGCAGATCGGTACTGTCGCATGAGGGACGTCCCTCTCATCTTGTGAGCCGTTCATCTTGCCGCTGGTCTCTCTTGAATGAGATGAGAAGAGAAAGAAGAGAGCATATGAATGCTTGGAAGGCTCAAAGAATGTTGTTCTGCTGAATGGAGCGTGATCTGATCAATATCGCGCGAGGGACTTCACCTTTTGTATCCAAGATCATGATGTGGATGCGTACCCTTACCCCGGCCATATTTGCTCGAGATCCCTCCCAAGAGAGAGTGTACCTCCTCCACCATCGAGTCTACCCCGGCCAAAACTCGGTTGCGGAGGGTTGCAAATGAAGTTGGTAGTGGAGATCACCAGAAAGGGTGTTGGATCCTTTTCTTCTGCGATGCACTCGACTAGGCTCGCCCTGGCCTAGACGGATGGAGTCCCGCGAGCCAGTGGGATGGGATTTGCGCACATCTCAAGACATGCGGAACCTTGACCCGGAAGGCGAACTAGACACAGGTTGGTTGATGATTGCGAGCCATCGCCCTTGTGGCCGTCCCCTTCTGCTGGCACCCCATGTCCGTCTCCGGGAGAGGCTTCCGGGTAATGTTCCGCCGCGGCGGGTGAGACCGCATCCCTGCACGGCGAGGGCCCGTGAGGAATGAGCATCACTTCTCCTTTCCAGTCCGTTAGGAAGAAAAGAACGAAATCTGGCGCTGAGTAGTGATGACCCGCGGCCAAGGCCTGGGTTTTGACGGTCGCCATTGCTTGCGTTCGCAAATCAAAAGTCTACGACTCACCGGAGGATGCACGGAGCTTATGTCGGCAGTCGTCCTGACCACGTCTCACTGCTCAGGAGGAGAGCTGCAACGCTGGTCTGACCACCAAACAACGCATTTGTTGATCTTTCGAGTCTTACCGCCGCCTGTTTGGTTAGAGAAAGGAGCATAGCAGATACAGCGTCCTGTTCAAATTTCTTTGTGCGTCGGAGAAAAAACAAAACAACAACAACAATAATCACAGCTGAGGCGCTGCAGTGTCTGAGATGTTCCCACTTGGTAGATCGAACGTAGGGAGAAGGTGAGTACACAGAACTGACAGACTTTTTCTTGGGACTCGGGAGGGGGCATCAGTTTCACATTTGTACATTTTGCACACTATGTCAGTCGAGACATTGGCGCATCGGGGCTTCCTGAAAGTGCCTCGAAGAAGAGCGAGGCGTGAAGTGAGTCTCCCACCCCTCGTGTTGGTGAAGAAAGGAAGGGAGACGACCTCATGCAGTTGGTCGTCATTTTGGCGCTGCTGCGGCCTCGCAATGTTTCCCCCCCTTGTTGAGAAAAGAACCTACTTAAGCGAAAGCTCGATGCAGCAGTCCAATCCTAGAAGAGTTACATAACAATAACCGGTGCATTCCCAGAGGTCTGGCTGACCCCCCGGCCAGGAGGATGCGCACATAACATCCAGATTGCAGAAGAAAAAGCAATTATCCAGGAGATCCGAGTGTCCCCAGAGGTTCAAGGGCACCAAACAAGCAACGAGAACTGCGAGGCTCAGACAATGATGCCAGGTTTCGTATACAATGAGGCCTTCACGGACGCGTGCGATGGAAATTCGTGGGAGCTGAGCTCGTGGTATGGCGCGCGCCTCACGTTATCCATCATTCTCTTTTTCCCTCGTTGCTTTTCTTCTTCTTCCTCACAGATCTACTTCCCCGATACCCCTGCTCTTTGGGCGAAGCCTCCAAGATCCGGCAGGATCCCTTTTTCGATCTGCGTTTAGGTGCCGAGGAATGGCCCCTTCACCCCCTGCCATGCATATGTGGTTGGTGTGTGTAACGATAGATGCTGGATGAAAACAACATCGGGCGATTGGAACTTATCAAAAGCAAGAAATCGGAGACTCGCGATGCACCCTGCCGTGGTTTGAGATCATGTAAGTGCCCACGAGTCCTTTTGCGAGTGCGAGGATGATGGACCAACTGCTGTTGGTGTATTGCCGCTCAGACCATCATCGGCATTTAAGATGAGTGTGACTGAGTGGTCATGAGCGACTGTGAATAATTTCTATCAGATGTGATTCAATGATGCTTTCTTTTTGGAAGATGCCCCCGCATGTTCTTGTGGTACTCTTGAATAACTCCTCATCCCTGGCACAGAGATCGGGAATCTCTCGCTTCGACTTTGCGCAATCGCTTACCCATTCCGTGGTAGTGGTTCTTCTTGTGAGACACATGAGTGATCGCTGAACAGGATTTTTTTTCCATCCTCTGACGAGATAACCATGAGCCTGTGAGCTCCAAGGGAGGGCCGCGTCAAGGGTCCCGGTAGGTAGTGCTGGGCGACGGGGAACAGCATTCCGTCTGAGACTTTGCTTCCCGAATCGTCTCCAATAGCTCGATTCAGGCATGAGGAAATCGCCTGAAAAAATGATGCCCGATTTCGGGTGCCCTTTGCTGATCTCGTATTTTGACACACAGCTTCCAAATTCTTGGGAAAGGGATGGCGCCTGTCTTGTTCGATGACATACTGTCAAGGTTCCGATTACATGGTTTGTGATTTTTATTTCCACTGACGGGCGGCTGCAGATTACTCGATCTGAATTTTCCGAAAGCATATCGTCGGTGGTTGATGCAAGGGGCCGGAGCATGACGGGGAGCCGCAGCCGCCCTCCCGCCGTCCGGTAGAGACTCGGCCACGGGACGGCAGCACCCGAGTGGATTATGACTCTGGGCCGAAGCATTATCATCGAGGTCTCGGTATGAGAATCTTGGTAATAAGAGAAGCTGGTATGACTGTGATCCTTTTGCCCGCGTGTAACCATTGTCCTCAAAGCACACAAATGTGAGACAATGAGAAATTGCGAACCCTACAAAACGCACAACCCAATTTGATCCAATTGCTCACAATTTGACCTCACTCCCATCGATGATCAACGATATTAAGAGGCGGCTCCTTTCGAGTCACGAGTGTCTTCAGAAATGCTTACACGGTCTATGTAGATGACGCCCAAAGTCCAAACATCAATGGTAAGATTGTGCAGTAATACGGTATATGAGTAGACCATTGCGTTCAAACGGCCAGGCTCGTTGGGCCACCTAGAACGGTCTTTAAGAGCAGCAGATGCTAAGAGTGCTTTATGAGATTCAATCATGGAATATCAGGTTGGGAAGATCTATAGATCTCAAACTGATACCTCGCGTTTACTTTGAAATATCTTTGAGTCTCATCGATCAACTTTGCCTAAATCCTTTCATTCTTCAACAATGGCTCGAGATTCGAGTATTCACAGGGCCTGATGCGATGTCTTTGTCGTGAGAATCGACAGGCATCCCTGCTTCTAGTTTCAGTGAGGCAATATGGAAGACTACAATCGTCTTTGTGGCCCGAAGCTGGAAGATTGGAGGAGCTCAAAGATCGTCTTTTCCAGCTTCTAGCCACAAAGATCGTCGTGATGTACCATGTCTAGACTGAAATTTCGTCAGAGCCCAAGAAATGACAGCGAGAATTCAGAGAAAATATTCCGCACACTTCGTGGTCCTTCGGTCGAACCTGTCCTTTCTATGGAGACTAAAGGCAGGTGACGCTAGTATTTCTTTCAGGTCCCGAGTCACCTTGAGTTCGAAAGGCAATTTGGCTGAGTATGGTAGGTGCTTTAGTGAAGTTAATTCAAGCACATCATCAAGGAGCCGCGTGGTCCAATTGTCCATGGTTTCTTGATACTTCATGTCTTTCGGTCTGGTGTTTAGGAGCCCATCTTGAGCTTGCCAACTTCAGACAGAACCTTAGGCTGATAAGCCAGCATTCTGAACGACCCGAAGCTCTTTGCAAGTAACACCATTGTAGGAACCTGGGTTTAGACTTTTTGGTCAGACGTGTTTGTATTCGTTGCTACCATTCCAGAACGCCCTCAGAGTATACAAGACTGGGACTTATGTGGGTAACAGAAGTTGGTACAAGAGGTATTTCAGTATGTTCTTGAGATAGATCCTCCTGTCTTCCACTTCTACTCACGAGTCACCTTGGTTAAAGCGCAGGAATAAGCCGATACATTTCACAGCCTCAACATTGCGAGTACTTCGATTTGATGGAAATTAGGGCCTATATCCCCTTAGAACTTCGCATTCGCTGCCTTCTGTATAGCGCTCAACTGTCTCTCTGAGCTCTGCAAAACAAAATGGTCCATCTACGAACGAAAAGTCTGTAAGCAACTCTTGAAGTACTCTTGCACCTCCCACCCAATTTCTGGCATTGCTCTTTCCTATTCTAATCCTTGGGCAGCTTGACCTCCTCAAATGGGCTTTTAGCAAATTATGCCCCTGTTCACTTCCACTTTCACCCACACCTCCACTGCAAACCTCTTTACCGCGTGTCGTAATTTCTCAAGGAAAGATGGATCTTTGGCCAGATTTATGAAGGCCATATATCTTGGTTTTGAATGACTAACAATTCCCTCAATACCTTCAAGCACCAAGCCTTCAATTTATTGGAAGACAACTTCATAAACCTGTCATCCGACCTCGGAAATCCTTTCATCTTCACTGTGCTGTAACATAGGCATGGGCTCCAGGCAGCTCACATTTCGGACTCCCATATCCAAGGCTCCCAGCCTTTTCACTATCCTTCACAATCTCAACTTCACCTTTCGTCCTTATCCAGGCAGTCCATTCACCTTTCAACTAACGTCACGTGCCTGACGACCTCCCGACCGCCCAACGAACTGCACCTTCCTTCCACCCTCCGTACCTGCCTCCTTCGACCTGCCTGCTGCCTCGAACCGCCATCGAACCGCCCGTCCTCCCATCCTTCATCATAAAACCTCCTCCTCCATCCCGAAATCAAGACAATTCCTCTTCTTCCTTCATCCAACTCAAGGACAACCAACATCTCGCCTGGAACAATTACCTTGCTTCTGTGCTCATCCAGTCTTTGAACTCTGTCACCAATCAGATCAAAGGACTTTTTGTCATCTTGCTGAGAAAATCGTCATCAACAGACTTGACGCGGAACCTGCAATTATTACCTTTGCTGTCCAAGACATATAATTTTGCCAAGTCAGTCTCTAGTAAGTGTCTCCAAATAGAAAGCAAGTTTCTTTGCTATACAGTTCCTAGCTCACCACACTCGCAGCAACGTACCTTACCTACTATCAAGAAAGGCCACCATCCAATCTGTCAACTTCACAATGGCTGGTTTCGATCTTCTCGCCGGATCCCCTGAGCACACTGCTGCTGCTTACCAGGCTTTGGTCAATGCTCCCCACAATGTTCGAACGCATGCCAACGCCGCTGGAGGCAACGATGATCAAGCTATTCTTTCCAGCTCTGTCTACTGCCCTGGTATTGCCCGGGATGCCCAGCAGAACATGACCAACCATCAGAATGGCAGCAACAACTTCAACCACAGATTGGTCATGGATCCTGCGATTGAAGCAACTTTGCTCCAAAGCATGGCCCGGATTGATCTCGCCCATACCCATGCCATTCGGACTGATAACAATCGCACCATCGTTGGAAGCGCCCACGTTCACCCCCGAGTTGGCTCATCCTCCAGCCATGGGTCTTCAAGCACCGATCGGCTTTCCATCTCGTCCGGCGCCCGCCAAGGTCCAGCCTACTATAACGCCACTGACTATAAAGCTAGTGAGAATACGGGAATCGATAAGGGCAAGGGCAGCGAGAAGATCAACTCCTCTCCACCCACTACTATCTCTCCTGATTCCACTTCTGCAAACGACGGCGGCTCCAACACCAAGATTCAAGGCCAAAAGCTCAATGCACCAGATGGAACTCCCGAGAGAGCCCCTGGCTGGGTTTTGCCTCGTTTCCGCGGCCAAGTCTTGCCTGTTCGAGAACCCGTGAATGCTGGTGCTCAAAGTAACTTCCCAGGCGGCCCTCGTGCGATTTTGACTGGTCAGGTGCATCCACAGTCGCGGCAGTCTGGGTCCGCGCCAAGTCGCAACCGAGTTTTCATCCCTCAGCCAGGTGTTGGGATGCCTTCAAGCCACCGCAATAGCACGAAGCCCATGAATAGCCAAGCTCCAATCGGCACAGGTCGTTGGGACCATCATACCCTGAGGGAGTTGCTTACTCATCAAGCCACGTCTGTCTGGGCTCAGCATGATCCTCGACCTACAGTTGCTCAGAAGGGCTTCCAATCTTATGCTCCGGTTGGCGAGTTTCGGCCAATGAACGCTGTCACTCGAACATTCTTCCGCCCTGAGTGCGATCCCCAGAAGGATCTAAAGATGGCCCAGGGTGTCTCGGCAAACTACAAGGGCGATGCTTTGAACCCGCGTAACCTTTCAGATGACATTCCAGAGTGCAAGAACGTTTCTTTCTTCTTGACGAATCTCCCAGCGGACGTCACCTACAGCCAGCTTCTGGGTCAAATTCGCGGCATGGGACGCGTCTGGGCCACTGTGATCAATCCTCCCGATGGTCACGAGCATTTCACCTCGGCCGCCAAGTTGGTGTTCTTCGAGCTAGCTGCAGCTCAGCGCTTCTACGCCCACTGTAGAAACCCGGCCCGTCGTCTCATCATCAACAGCTACGCGGTCAAGATTGTTCGCAACCGGGTTCGGAAGGCCGAAGAGGACGTCGGCGGCTACCACTCTCGTGTTCTCGTCATCACGGGCGAGTTGTCCTTTGTCAACAAGGACACTCTGCTGCGTTACTTCCGCACGAAGCTCGATTTCGACACTGAGGATGTCATCGCCCATGTTCAAGACCCTCAGACTGGAATGGGAGAGCTTGAAATCCGGTTCGCCTGCTATCGGAACCAGTCCGAGTCTGCTCGTCAAGCGCTGAGCAAGGAGTATCCTCCCGGTGCCACCCTTCCAGATGGCAGGATGTCTCCAATTTGGGAGCTCAGATACGGCGTCGACCCTTGCTCAATCTGAAAGCTTGAAGTGGCCACCTTCTCACACCAGCGGAGACAAAGCTGATTAGGAGGTTCATGGCCAGTCACTCAGAACGAGAAGCATGGATCGGATAGATTGGAGGTGGAAATGACTTCACTTACACTTGTCTTGGGAGGGAAAAGTTCTGGATTGTGAGTATGATTTGTAATGAGATACCCAGGCGTTCGCTTTTGTTTTGCTGCTGGGCAATTGTATCATCGCTGACTTCGGCCAATAGTGGTGTTGGGACAATGGCCTGCCAGATAATATTTGCTTTGGGATTTCTTCAGATAGTGATGGGGCTTTCAGGATGGACACAGATACACGGATAGTCATGGAAGCCCTCCAGCAATGAATCGGTTTTGTTTCTGAACTGCCCTCAGTTGATTATCCACTCATATATCGTGACATTCATTCAGCAGCGAAGTAGCCCAGTGCGTTACAAAAACTCAGGGGTTGCATCTTCATCGCGCCTTCTGGAAGAAAGGATGGTTGATGATGACATAAGCGTAAAACTTGCAGGTGGTCTGGGGAAGGAATGAAATCCCCTGCTCTTGCCTCTTGGAGCTGCATTTATGTGGTCTGTGCGCAGGGTTCTTCATCCATCCAATTGGGTAGGCTCGGTGTGACGCAACCCCCACACCTTCCTTCGTACTCGGTGGTGGCGACATCAAATACTCAGCTTCTCACCCTCAACTTACCTCCATCACTTGATAAGAGTAAGGTACCAAGGCTTGAGGCTTACAAGGATCTCACCAAAGATGAAGGGAGATGACGAGACCTCAGTGGCCTCATCGAAGGGACCCAAAGCCTCTCACAAGCGGAAGGATACAGCCTCCACGAGAGTCAATTCTGCCAAAGCATCTTTAGCTGCGAAAAGCTCACCACAACCAACGATGGCGGCAACAACAGCGGAAGGCCTAGTTGTCGACAACTCAACTTTCACAGTCATCAATAGTGATGGCACGACTTCCTACTACACAAGCACCGGTGAGCTGATCGAAGGCGAGAATTCAAGACCCACCGAAGCCACAAAGGAAGTCGCCGATAGCGACCGTGTCACAGCAAAGGGCGCGCTCAATCTACGCTCAAAGAAGACTGAGAGAATGAAGCGGAAACTTGAGAAGAAGACCGCCAAGTCCTCGGCTCGCCGGACAACTCAACTCCTCGATCTCCCCAATGAGACTCTTGTCGAGATCATCACCAACATGCTTCCCAGCGAGGTTTTGAAGACCGCTCAGACCTGCAAGACACTCCGCAAGCTCATCCAACACAACGAGAAGCTTCTGTCGCGCAAAGTAATCTCTCAACGATACCCCGTTCTCTCCAAGTGCTTCCGCCTCCCAGTTACACTCGACGAGATCGACCCAGAGCTTCACCCAGTCCTCAAGAATGACGCCAGAATCGACATGCTCGGTATCCACCGGCGATACGTCCACATCCCTCAACCTGAGCCCTATGTCCTATGCACCTGCCTCACCTGTGTCTTACGCTGGCAGGCCTGCTGCATCATTGTCGACTTCAATAAATGGCGCCCCAACCTCGACTCTGGGGTTCCCATCACCATCATGCGTCGGGGCCAAGACGCTTTGTGGAACATGGTCTGGAAAGACAGAATCACAGACATTGTTCTCCATGCCATCCGCTCCCCGCTCGCCTACGCCCATCTCCTCGAGGTCCATCTCGACAACACCTGTGCTGCTATCAGGAGACAAAGAGCGAACAAGGGCAACCGCCGTCGCCACTTTGAGATGACCGAGGCCGACGCGGAGTCCCTCACGGACGTCTTCTTGGAGGGGAATGGCCCGCCCACCATCGATCTGCCCTATTCGCGGGATAACTACTACATGCTCGAAGCGTACATGCCTGCAAGAACCTGGCTCAAAGACGAAGAGAAGTGGGTCTATATTCCGGCGGATTTCCACGACAGAGACCTCGATTGGGTGGCGAAACGATGGGGTCCGGAATGGGGCGGCACACATAATCGGGACAGAGCTAATGAAAAGATGAGGGGACCGGCTTAGAAAGCTATCAGGAACTTTGGGTCTTACCATGCACATAGCATGTGCTATGATCGACATCATCCAACGGACTATATCGGCCTGTTGATTCTTGAGGCGGACATGTGCAAGGCCAGCGTGGCCCTTCCAAGAGGCAGGCCGGGGGAAATTTCCTTTTCTTTGGTGCCGGTTTAGAAGCAGTTGCGAAGGTTTCTGGGCGGTTATGAGGTATCCAGAGGAGAGGGCACTGATCTCTTGGAATCGTGGACTACCTTACTTCCTGAGACGCGGGCAGTGATTGGGACCTCCTAGGTCTCAATTGTCACACGACTTCACACGACCGACGAAGACAATGGCTACTACAAGAATAATGGGCTTTATTGAGGAAAAGAAATCGGGCCATCAAGCAACTTTGTCATGTCTCCTTCGGACTCTTGTTGTTGTCTTCTTGACCTCCCTCACGATGAGCCAAGACTCGTCAAGACACGTCCTTGACTGATCTCTTCCATGGACCTACACCCGAGTCTCGGGCCTCTTCGTAAACACACAATCCAACTTCGCGGGCTTTATAATTAGCTGGAACTTGGCTTCCGCCTCGAACGTCTTGCCGTCTTCTCCAGGAGCGAATTCAAAGTCGTAATTCCAGAGAGTGTAGGCGATGGTGAGCCGTAGAACGTTCCAGGCCAGACGCCGTCCTACACAGTCATATCGGCCTTAATGATAGACTGTCAGCTGTTCCGTTCTTTGGACGATAAACACGACATCTACTAACCGTAGCTAAAGGGCAAGAAAGCCCTGCGGTCAATGATCAACTCGGGCCGCGTCGTCCAGCGCTCGGGGACGAACTCATTGGGGTACCTCCAATATTTGTGACCTAAGGTACAGTGATCATCAGCCAAACAGATTCGTCTATCCCATGCGGGTTTATGGACTTACTTCGATGATAGCAGTGGATTGGCGTACACAAAGTCACATCTCCAGGGATGTAAGTTCCATCAATCGTCACTCCCTCCGGCGGAGCCATTCTAGGCCCGTTGATCGGCGCCGGCGCATACATGCGCAGGGTCTCAGTGATAACAGCTTCAAGCAGCTCGAGCTTATTGAGGTCCGTTACAGCGAATTCCCCTTCCAGGGTCTTGGAGTGCACAGGTGCAATTTCTTCGTAAAGACGCTGACGGAGGCTGGCGTCGCGGGCGATGTAGTAGAAGGCGTACCCTAGGGTGCAGGATATTGTATCTCTGGCCTTTGGTTAGCATGTGAGTTTCTACGAACAGAAGTCCCTTTAGATACGTACGTCGCTCCGATGAGGATGGCTTGGGAGTCAGAATACATGATGTTGACATTGAAGAAGGTCTTTGGTTTTTCAGACTTGTAGTCATCGAGAAAGTACTTCAACATGTCGTGAGACTCATCAGAATCAACCTGTTCAATCATCAGCCGTATTTCCCCTTAGCTCAACTAAGCAGGCCTCCACTTACGGCAATCCTCTCATCCACAAGTCGGACCCCCAAATCCTCAAACTCCTTCTGCATTCCCATCCGCGGCAGCTTCGCCAGAAACACGAGCGGCCAAGGCGTCTGCCCTAGTCGAGCGCCCAACTTGAACGTCGTCTCGATGAGGTCGAGCATTCTATCCTCTCTGCCGTCTCGGACGGTGCCGAAGTCTCGGCCGTAGCCTACGCGCCCCATGTTGTCAAAGGGGATGAGTTTAGCGTAGTGAGAGGCGTTGATGGGCTTTCCTAGGACTTCGTCGAGGCGGGAAAGCCAGGTCCGGAGGACGGTGCGGGTCTCTTCCTCGTATTTCTCGAGGGCTGGCGGAGCATTAGCAGATCCAAACTGAAGTAAGACAAAACAGGTGATGATTCGAGGCCTGTAGGGGTGAGAGCGGGCGAGATATCACCTTTACTCCCTAAAGCTTGATCCCAGACTTTACGTCTATCGCGGTGTACCTCGTTGTGCGAAAGAGAATCCAAGTTCAACTCGCCCTTTGTCCTCAAGGCGTCGTAGAATCCGGTATTGCGCTTAGTGCACTTTGTCTGTGGTCCGTGGATCTTGGTGATGGCGTCTAGGTTGACGATTGAGATGTCGTTCGGGCCTGGAGTCTTATTAGCTGGTACTCAGCCTCCATACTACCAGCGCTCGCTCGAGTTGTTGGATCCGTACCAACGCGCACGAAATCTCCGTGTTTCTCATGCATTTCGAGATATTTTTCATGCAATTTCCAATCTCTATTGAGCCACATAATGTAGGGCTTCGTAATCTTGGCCGGAACAGGACCAGGGAACCGGCGCAGAGGGTGGAAGATTAGGCGGTATACCACGATACTGGTAAACAGGCCCGCGAAGTAAGAGCTGGATATCGCAATATGGGCCGTTATACCCTTTGCGAATCCCAGACTCGTGACAGACTTTAGGAGAAGAAGCAGCAGTGCGACCCCGTGGACGACCAAGATATTGAACACTTCCATGCTCCTGTGCCCGCGGATAAAGTAGCCCCAATGTGCCAGGAGACCAGCTCCCGCCGCCAGGGCGTAGGAGAAGCCAATCCCGGTGCCCACATTGGCGCTCAGTGTAGATAAGAGTTCTTTCATCGTTGGTTGTGTTGATGAGTGGCTAATGTTTGTGGGCATTCAATAATTATCATATCCGCACCTGCCGAGTTGTGAGGTGTCCAGGGCGGTAGAGCTTAAGTATACCGCCTGCTTGAGCTATCCCCTCGGGGGCCGAGGCCAGGTTACTTCGGTCGTGCAGTGTCCAGACCATCTGATACACCAGTAGCAATTCCGTCTTTGGGGACTTTGGGGTAACGCCCGGAGAATGTTCTCATGGGGTAGCCCTGTAACAAGTGCAAAAGTTCGACCGGCGGCCCGTCGGACGCCAGAAAGTAAAGAGACCTAAGGTCCCATTCGAGAGATTAGATGTTTCTATTTGGGTGAACCCTTTGTTTCTAGCACGAACTGCAGAATTGGGTGGTAGAACTTCCCCGCATCACTACGGTACTACATGGATGCTGTAATGAAGATTTGGCGACTGAACGGGATCTGGATTCGGGCGGAGGGATTAAGCTCTCGCACTTCCAAAGGGATGAAGATGGTGTAAAACGAAGGGGATGCCTCATGATCCTATTGTCTTTAGGGTCTCGTACAGAGTATCATTAACTCTGTCTTTCGTCTTCACTCCTACCCTCGTGCTACATGTTGCACAGCACAACTGGCATTAGCAGCGGTAGAGCAGGCAGGCGAAAACGATGTGTACGCGGTGGGGTACGTGATTGGGTTCTAGGTATCGTGGCTCTCTAGGATCCTCACATGCTTAGTTCACAGCCCATCAGCCTGATGTAAGGCTATCGATGCAGCAAATTATATGTGTGTTCTCGATAGCGACAGTGCGCCTTGGTCTTGAGATACGCGTAAACTTATGGCAATGTATTCTGACTGCGCAAGTCACCAACGGCCCGTCGGAATAATCAGTGAGTAACTTGAGCATTTGCAAGAAAAGCAAACAGCCATCCCATGCGAGTGCGAACTGACCAAACATGCATGTGGTTTTGGGTGCAATGACGTAAATAGTGTGTCTGATGGCTCCCAATAGGCTCACGGGTACCCGTGCATGTAAAATTCCACGGGTACCCGTGAATATGACTAAGCAAGCGGGCGGCACAGATTGACAAACGCGTCTCGCGTCAGTCTACACGTTTCTCTGCACATGGCATGGCAACTCGGCCACACGTTTCTGAGAAGGATGGAATTAGCCCCGGACAACCCAGCACTCAATTTCCTAGACGACTGTCTACCTCCTGAAAGCGAATATGAATCGCGCGATGACCTCATATTGGCAATTAACAACTGGGCGGCAACAAGGGGATACGCCTTCACGACTGGGAGATCGACCAAAGAGAAGAGTGGGCGGCGGACAATTACGTATTCGTGCGATCGGTCGTGTCATCCCCCAAGCAAAGCAATAGCGCGCCAAAGACGAACTACGAGCAGAGGAACGGGCTGTCAATTTTCCGTGCTTGCCAAGGAATCCTTGGATAAAAGCACCTGGAGCTTGAGACACCGGCCCGACAAACGGTTTTCTTCTCATAATCACCCCCCAAGCCAGCATCCGTCTGCTCACCCAACACACCGCAAGCTGACAGAGGAGGATTTTGCGAAAGTAGCCGGCCTATCAAATGCTGGCGTCGCGCCCAGAGATATCCGGACATACATACGACAAACCACAAACTCTGTAGCAACCCAACAGGATATCTACAATCATATTGCAGCCATCAAACGAGATGTTCGTGGAGGGCAGACCTCGATCCACGCACTTGCCAATCAGCTTGACGAGGAAGGCTTCTGGAGTCGAATGCAATTCGCACCAGATGGCCGCGTTACAGCTGTCTTGTTCGCCCATCCAGATTCCCTAGCCCTCCTACAAGCTTACCCAGACGTAATGTTGCTGGACTGCACTTACAAGACCAACAAGTACGGTATGCCGCTTCTTGACATAGTTGGCGTCGATGCTTGTCAGCGGTCCTTCTGTATCGCGTTCGCATTTCTCAGTGGCGAAACGGAAGATGATTATACCTGGGCTCTGGAGCGGGTCAGGTCCTTGTATGACCAGTGCAACGCTAGCCTACCTGCGGTTGTCCTCACAGATCGCTGCTTAGCATGCATCAATGCTGTAGCCGCTGTCTTTCCATCTTCGGCATCTTTGCTTTGCCTCTGGCATGCGAACAAGGCGGTGCTTCAGCATTGCTACTCTGCGTTCGACCTTGTCAAGACGAAGACAACCAGTAGCCCTGCAGCGCCGAAGTCATCGACTGACAACTGGGGAGAGTTCTACAAGTCCTGGCATTTGATTGTTAGCTCGCCGTCTGAGATGACCTTTCAGGAGCGTGTTTCTCACTTCGAGGAACGCTATCTTACGGACCATCTTGAAGAAGTCGGCTACATTACGTCCTTTTGGCTCCATCCGTACAAGGAGAAGCTAGTGAAAGCCTGGGTTGATCAGCACACGCACTTTGGCAACGTGGCTACCTCGCGGGTTGAAGGCATCCATGCTCTGCTCAAATCGCACCTAAAGAGATCCACGTTAGATCTGTTCGAGGCTTGGCGAGCGATGAAGCACGCGTTACTCAATCAGCTCTCGGATCTGAGATCTAATCAAGCCAAGCAACAGACACGAATACCGGTCGAGCTTTCGGGAACAATATATGGCGCAGTACTTGGCTGGGTATCGCATGAAGCCCTCCGGAAAGTAGAAGAGCAGCGGAAGCTGCTCAGTAAGAATGGCACAGACCATTCCTCAGTCTGTACGGGGGCCTTCTCTCGTGTGTACGGTTTGCCATGTCTACACAAATTAAAGGCTTTACAGGAACAAAATCTTGTTCTGCTACGTGAGCACTTTCATGCGCATTGGCACCTGAGGCGTGAAGGGGCGCCGCAGCTGTTACTAGAGCCTCGCCAGCGCATCGAGCCCAGGTTGCAATCGGAGAACCCCCGAATTCCGGTTTCAAGCACTAGGCGAGACCCAAGCAGCTTTGAAATCGTTGAACTCGCGTCACGGGCCCCAAGCACATGTAGTAGGTGTCATGCGGTTGGCCATATTATGACCTCAAAGGCGTGCCCTCAGCGATATTCACATTTGTTGCCTGAGCCAATTCCTACTCCAGGCCTAGCCCCAACACCGAGTGCAGTCTGTGCCACTACACGGAAAGTCACGGAAAGCCTTCCGTCGAACGCCGTACAGTCCATAATAGCCTTGACTCAATCGACTACAGATGAAGCAGTGGATGCCAGGATGTCACCACCTGAGATGCAACCACCGTCTCGGCGTTCGCGTTCGCCCTCGGTTCTAAAATACGATTCACCTCAGGCAATATACGGACGGTACTGTGCAGCGAGAACCGCCTGGTATGCCGCCCAGCCTCGTGGAAGTGTCAAAACAAACCAGGAGTATCGGAGGGCAATGGGACTTCCGCTGCGTTATGGGAAGAAATGTTATGAGTGGTGTCTTGACTACAAGCAGATGAACAAACGCTGCACCACCTCCAAGGGGTCAAGAGATTGGCTTAAGGAAGAGATGATGGCTTATCTAGACTGGGACAGAGCTGAAGAGGAACGGGTTGATGAGCTTGTCATCGCTGAGGAGGGAGAAAACCCTTTTCGAAATAGCAGGAGAGGTATGGGCGACATCTGGAAACGAGTTGAGAGAGACAACGCCGAACAGGAGGCGTTGTATGCTGAGAATCTGCCCGAAGAGTGTATTGTGGTTAAATCGTAAATTATAGGGTAATTGGAACCCAAGCCGCGGCCCCGATTGGCTCAAGACCCGTGCAGCGAACGTGCTTAGTCATATTCACGGGTACCCGTGGAATTTTACATGCACGGGTACCCGTGAGCCTATTGGGAGCCGTGTCTGATATGTCGATTACTAATCTGAACTTCGAAACTTTGAAATTGTGAAACGCCTATGCCCTTGAAATCATGTTCCCGCCGTGGTATACAATTCTAATGCGTGTAGAACATTTGGTAAAAATCGTCATAAGTCGCTTCCGGGTTTAGCAGCGACCCCTGCGGCCTCCCCATCCTCCACCCATGCCGCCTCCGTATCCGTGTCTGCCGGGTCCGCCAAAGCCGCCGCCGCCGCCGAAGCCGGGTCGAGGGCCGCATGGCCTAGGTCCACCCATCATGCCGCCGCCGTGATGACCGTGGTGGTGGGTCTGTACAATAACTGGGCGGGGGCCGTAGCCAGGACCGCCGTAGCCACCTCCGTATCCTCTGCGTCTTGATAGGCCGAAGCACATGTTGTATTGTTTGCAAAGGTAGGCTGAAGATAGTTGAGGTTGTAGATTGTGAAGATATGTTTGAGTTAGGACTATCGCAGATAACTTGATTGCGCGGCTTTGTAGTAGTTGGTTATTGTAGTTTAAATTGATAGGTTGAGTGTTAGTTGATTGTTTGTGAATTTGGATTTGATTCTCAGTGAGAGGCTTAAGTGTTCTTGTAGTTGTGGTTTGTTGTGATGATGAATAGGATAATCAGTTGTGGTGAAAGGGGAGAGCCATTTCACTTTATAGATCGTCTGCTTGATGCATCCAGCTGCCCAGCATAGCGCTGCCAGACCCTTCGTGCGTCATTTCGTCCCGACCGAAGAACGCTAAGATGCCAATGCCCCAAGCCGACACTAGGATAATGGAAGCAACTTGGCTCATGTCACCATGTCATGAGGGGCCGCGCAATCGGTCTCCGCACGGAAGACAGCGAAAAACCTAGTCCCACGTCACTGAGAACGCCGCAACCAGCGCTCCCAAGTCGCTAAACGGCTCGAGCGGCCGAGGGCGAAGCCTTAGAAGAGTCAAGGTCCATCCCAGACAACGTGATTGTGGCTTTTGGGTACTGAGCCACAATGCCTTGTGCTGTTGCTGCTGGACCTCGGCCAATGCCGAGCCACACCGAAGGATCCCGTTGAAGAATCCCGAGGTGCCGCCACATTCCGAGACATTCGTGCGGATCCAAGCGTCTTCGTGGAGTGACCAATTGAGGCGCCGTTGTCTTCGGCCCCGGATGGCCGGCATAGTTTGGTGCCGCATTTGGTGTGCCAAGTTCGCCGAATCGGCTTGGTGTCTTGGCTATCGTCTGTTCTGGGGTTTTCTTCAGCTACCATGTGTTGAGTTGGTCCCTTTTTAGGGGTTTTGCTCAGTAAAGGTTGCTAAGAAGTCACTTGAGTCGAGTCGTCCGATGCCTCGGTCTCCCTTCGAACGTCATTCTGGAGCTGGGTCTGTTGACTCAGAAGTTCTAGAACGTAGTCTCAAGACTTGCGGGTTGGTGGGATCGTCGCTGGGGCACAAGCGATGCTTGGATGCACTCTTGTACCTTGCTCGCCCATCTAGCTAGTCGGGAACATCTGATCAACCACTGCAACTGAACCGGTGGATGCGGTCAGCTCTCAGTGATGGGATTTTCAATCATCTGACATTCCGTGCTCATTTTGAGACTGCCTCAAGTGTGAGTTGGTATACAACCATCTTGGTAGAAGCACATGGTCTAAAATTATCAAGATACAGCATACATCATCTGAAAGCTTTTGCTTGCAGTTTCATCTGCCTTTTTTCGCTTGGAGAAAGCACAATGACGTTAGACATGATCCTCGGGAGAGTAGCGTTTTGACACCTCTTCGTCAGTGTATTGAGGTTTCCGGCCCCTCTTCTTGGAGTCAAGATCGCCTACATGACGCGGATATTGGCTTTCTCTATCAAGCCCACGTATCATGCATCGTTCTTGAAACGATGAAACGAATTGGAAGGTGTTCTCCTTCGCTGACGCGTTTTTTGATAACGAACCAAGTTGTGACGCACTGGTCGAGTACGCATCTGAAGATCAAGAAGATTTCCCACTGGACCCCGTAACCCTCGGAAGAGGTGCCTGCGATCCACTGGTGTCGGATCCTCGATTATACTTCTTCTGTACTCAGCATTCGCACGCAGTCTATCTTGGAAGAATGGGAGAGTCTCATGCTCCATTTTGAAGTTCAAGTGACCAAGCTGGCAAGTCCATTACATACGCATGAACAAAGTTACAAACTCAGATTATCCACTAATAGTCTCCCAGCTTGCTCTCCATAGAGAAAAGCTCGCAAGGCCTCAGACAGGAGATAGTGCCACCGACCTCGATTGGCCTCGTCACACTTGCAGTATTCTCACCCAACTATCCTCAACACTGGCTGCCACATTAGACAACGTGCGAAAATATGAGCAGGTACCTGAACTTGGCCTCGATGTATCGGACGCTAGCGATTCGCTATTTTACAAGAAGATTCGAATGGATTTGAGGAGGACGTGCGACGGGCTGAGCGATTGTCAACGCTCTCTATGCGCCTTACGAGAAATACTGATTCTAGAACAAGGCCATGTGCGCATCGATCTATCCAGTCATTGTAAAGTTATTGAATATTATTAACTCCTACATCTCTAGATTCAGAACAACCGATCTCTACATCTCGCACGTGGTCAAGCTACGGAAGTCAGAATACTTTCTTGGGTGACTCTAGTAAGCTATCCCTCACATGTGCCATTTCTATTGCATCAATCTTACCCGCATATAGATGTCTCAACCATTGGTAACGGCTGCGGCCATATTTGGCTGTGGTGATATCGTACTTGCACTTCCTCGAATGCCTCCCCCAGTTCTTTTCTTGTCCTTGCTGTTGTGCACCGGTGTAGTAGCTGCGGGTATTATTTTCATGGCTTCACAGAGAGCTACGAAAAGTTTAGCCGAATGGGGGGTTTCTCGGCCGCTTGTTGCCGACATGGGACCGCAAAGGGACAGGGATGAAAGCAAGAACCTCCGTCGCTCGCCTAACTTCTCGCGGCTGTTGGGGGCACCTGCTCTTGGGCGCTCAGATATGCTGGCATTTCCTCCCCGTCGCAAGATTCAATAGCAACGATCTCAAGCCCAGCAAAGACCTGAATGACTCATTGACAGCATAGTGCATCACTTGGTTTGAGAAAGAGAACGGGCTCGTATAGTCTGTAAAAAGTCTGGATACCCGCTCAAAGTCTGAGTCTTGCGCGATCATGACACAAGGAAATAAATGCTTCAAATGACCACTACCTTAAAATCCACATGCAATAGACTTTTGAACACAAGATCAGCACAAAGACCTCTCTCTATAATCATATCCCTCTGTACCGACGTATTGTATGGGTGCGCATGAACAACATCCATTAAAGGTACATGGGTCCTGTCAACTACTAAATTCACAAGTTTGACTAGGTATCCAAACTACTTACATACTTGAGAAGTTGACAAGACAACCTGCAAATTAGCTTCCCTCCCAATCAAGGTGCGGTCCCCGCGTTTCCACGATTTCCTCATCAGTGATTGCAATATAGTTCTGTTGTTGAGCCAGGAATTCTTTGATCCTTCTGACATCCGTTGGCTTATCTCCCGCGTGGTCTTCGACCAGAGTCTTTAGAAATGCCTGGAGCCGGTCCTGTACCACCTCAACTCTGTACTTGGCCCATTGGTAGTAAAGCTCCGAGTGCTCAGAAATCGGTCTAATGGAGGTGAGGACCGAGTCGTCTTTTGCACAAGGATTCCGGGGACGGAAAGATGTGATCATAGTGATACGCTCAGCGCCACCGATGGCCGCAAGGGCTTGGTGTTCGACATATCTTCCTTGGAGGATGACTGCGGATCCCTAGCAAATGTTACCACCTTAGTCACAGCCGAAAAAAAGACAGAAGACTTGCACCTACCATCTGCGGGCCCCTGACCTTAAGGATTTCGCCCGTTCCCGTCTTGATAGCTGTCTCGCCACCTACCATGTTCGTCGCATCACTCATCATGACAACACACACAAAAGGAAAAGCATCGTAATGCCATTTGGTAACGGAGGTGTTGTCTCCAGCATTTATCCGGGTCTTTTCCTGATCGCCGGCCTTGCTCTGTACGGAGATGTTGATGTTGCCCACTTCGTACTGGATGTTGGGGATGAGGTCCACTCCAGCGACCTGCGAAATGACCGCCAAAGTTTTCGGATCGTGCCAAGCTTGGTTCATGAAAGGCGCGTACCTGCGTCCTATGTGAGCTCTGCGATAACTTTTGACGCGTCTCAATAGTGAATAACATACTTTGGGCAGTGGCCACGCAACTGACAGGGCGCAAATCTGGTGCTGTGAAGGCAGTTCTCCCAGACCTCGGTCGTGAAGATCTCTCGTCTCATGTGCTGGATGGCCTCTTCAGTGAAGAGAGGGAACGGCTCCGAGCAGGCAACTTGGGATATTCCAATGTCCTCGGGCAGCGAAACATCTTTCAGGGACAGCTTCTTGGGATCGTTGACGAATGCAAGATGCTTGTCCGGGTTGAATGTTTCGGGTTTGGCTGGGGTTGCTGGCTTCAGGTCGTCCTTAATGATAGGCGTGAAGCTCAGCTTTGCCAAAGGGGATGGAGTTGCGAATGCAATATTAGCCATAGCTGTGTTTACAGTTGATGGGTGGGGTTTATGAGTTCTTGTAAGTAAAGTAATCTTGGCAACACAAATGTCTCGATAACTCTTGATAGCTACGATATCCTCTCCTCACCATAACAAAGGCCCCTTGATATAATTAAGACCTCAGAGGTCTGACGCACAGCTCATGTCTCACAGGCAACGTTAGCACAGCCATCGCCGACGGCGTGTGTGCCACCTCGAGTTGGTTGGGCATCATGCCGCCTGACAATGCCTCCGAGCCAAAAAAGATTGCCCATATCTCACTCAGGGCCAAGCAATGCATGCCTTCACGTGTGCCTCGTTTCATCGGTGTGATCAAAATCTTTTCGAGTAAGAGAACCCGCGATATCTGATATGCAACCACTTCGGCTTCTCATCATTGAGTGTGATGTTCACAAAGAAGCCGATCCGAGATCGCACCCGATCCCTGTCACCCCCACTTGCGGTTATCAGTCCCGAGACCTGCTTGTCCCTCCGAACCCCGCACCGAAGACGCGCTTGGGTGTCCGGCTCTCATTTCAGTTTCCCTATCAAGACAGTATGTGGGACGTGACACCGATGAACGACTACCGGTCTCATGACACGATAAAGATGAATCCAGTCAACTACCTGGGTGAAATGTCACGAATAGAGGATCGCCTCATCTTACACAGTCCTTTGAGCATTGATCGTTATCACCTCCCGCTTTGAATTCCTGACCGATCTTTCAATACGATGTCTTCCTTCGCATCTTCTTTGAAAGACCCCAGTCTCTTTGTCCAGAAGTCATACATCAATGGTCAATGGACGTCGTCAGACTCTGGTAAGACCTTCCAGGTCAACAACCCGGCAACAGAAGAGCTCATCGGCACATGCCCTGAGTCAACCATTGGCGACCTCAACAACGCCATCGATGCCGCAGCCAAGGCATTCCCAGAGTGGAAAGCACTATCGGGTCGTCAACGAAGCCGCATCATCGGGCGCATCTTTGATCTCTTAGTCGACAACCAAGCAGACCTCGGCAAGATCATCACCGCCGAGAATGGCAAAGCAAAAGGAGATGCTGAGGGCGAGGTGATGTTTGGGGCAAGTTTCTTCGAGTGGTACGGCGAAGAGGCTGCTCGGATCTATGGAGATATCATTCCCCACAGCAACCCAACTCACAGGACCCGCGTCGTCAAAGAGCCCATCGGCGTTTGTGGTTTAATTGTGCCTTGGAATTTCCCTCTCGCGATGGGCGCTCGCAAGGTGTCGGCAGCTCTCGCAGCTGGATGCACCGTTGTAATGAAGTCTGATGGACTTACACCGTTCTCTTCAAACGCGCTAGCTGTGCTTTGCGAGAGGGCTGGCGTACCTCCTGGAGTTTTCAATGTTTTCACAGCGTTGGAAAACACACCTCAACTTGGACTGGCTTTATGCCAGTCAGACGTCGTGAAGAAGATTTCTTTCACGGGCTCGACAAGAGTTGGCAAGTTGTTGATGCAACAGTCAAGCAGCACTCTTAAGAAATTGAGTCTTGAGCTGGGAGGTAACGCGCCCTTTATCGTGTTTGATGATGCGGATATAGACATCGCGATTTCCAGCGTCCTCGTCTCCAAGTTCAAGGTCACTGGCCAGACATGCGTGTGCGCCAATCGGATCTTCGTGCAAGAGGGAATTTACGATAGGTTTAGCCAGAGGCTGGTGGAGGAAGTCAGAAAGTTCCGAGTTGGCAACGGCACAGACGCGTCGGTCACTCACGGGCCCTTGACCAACGGCGTTGGCAAGGTAGAAGAGCATATCAAGGACGCCGTCGCCAAGAACGCAAAGATTTTGCTAGGCGGTAACCGATTACCATCAGCCGGCAAAAACTTTTACGAGCTCACCATTCTCGGAGATGTCGATGACTCGATGAAAGTGACACAAGAAGAGACATTTGGTCCCCTTGCGGCATTGACGAAGTTCTCTACTGAAAAAGAGGTCATTGAGAGGGCCAACAAGTCTGAAGTCGGACTGGCATCATACGTCATCACGAACGACCTAGCTAGGTCAACCCGAGTATCAGAGCTTCTGGAGTTTGGAATGGTTGCCATCAACACTGGTGTCATCTCAGACGCTTCTGCGCCGTAAGTGATCCATGATTCCCGTCGCCTTGTAGATCAAAGGCTCAAAGCTAACATTTGCCAGATTCGGAGGCGTCAAGCATTCCGGCTTTGGCCGGGAAGGCAGCAAATATGGGCTTGAGGACTACTTGACCATCAAGATGATCGTGACCGGCGGCATCAGCACGCGTCTGTAGTAAACGGCAATAAGTTGATAGAAGTTTCGGCATCAAATGGACCGCATACTGTCTGTTCGCTGAAGTCACTATCAAAGAACACCTAAAGGTTTGACGTGATTTCAATGCCTTTTATGACCGTCAGGTCACATTCTCAATTTTGTATATCGCTAGAATAAAATTTCAATCCGCTTTTATGCTCGTGTCATTGCAATCCTTTAGACAAGGTACAGAGTTCCGTTGTTGTTTCCTATTCTCTCATCCAAGTTCACAGAGCTGCGCACCCACTGGCCGTTACGGGACAGCTCGGCCTCAAGGACCTGGCCACCCTGAACCAGACGGGCATCCCGCGCCGAGGCGCCGAAGTTGCCGCCGGAGTTTCCACCACGGCCGGGGATCTGAAGGACCTGGCCGGGCCAGATCTGGTCCGGATTGGGGATGTTGTTGTGTCTCGCAATCTCCTCGAAGCCGACGTTGAACCTCGCGGCGATGTTGCGGAGAGTATCGCCTTGCTGGACAGTCACGGAAGAGTCACCACCACCGCCACCGCCAGAGGACCAACGGAAGCTACCGTGGTCATTTTCGAGGATTCTGTTCAGGCTGATAGTGCTGCTCTGCCACTCGCCATCACGACGTCTGCAGGAAGCGTGGAGGTTGTACTCTCCGTGAGCATCAAGACGGATGTCTCTAGATGAGCCGGTGAAGCCACCGCCGTAGTTTCCACTGCGAGGCTTGTCATCACCATGGCGATCATCGTGGTGGCCGTGGTGATGGTCCTTGGGAGGGGAGTGAGGGCGATCGTGGTCGTGCTTTTGGTCGTGCTCGTGCTTCTTCTCCTCGTCCCGCTTGTCCTTCCAGTCGGACACACCATCTTGCAGCTTGTGTCCGGCGAAAGCTCCCGCAACAGCACCGATAAAAGTGCTGGTCTTGCTGTGGCCGAAGTTGCCGCCAACCTTGTGACCGCCGAAAGCGCCGGCGGCACCACCGGCAAGAGCACCCGTCAGGCCACGCTCGCCGTCTTCGCCCTCGGGGCCGTTAGATCCAGGCGGGCCGTCATTGCGGTAGCCCTGGTTGCCGTAATTGCCCTGGTTTTGGTAGGGAGGGGGCCCCGATTGGTGCTGAGATTGGCCGTAGCCTCCTTGTTGTTGTCCGTATCCTTCTTGGCCGTATCCATGTTGCGTGCCAAACTGCTGCTGGCCTTGCTGGCCTTGGCCATAGTATGAGCCGGCCTCACCAGAAGGAGGACGGTCTTGTTGGTAGCCGCCCTGGTGATGACCTTCCTGTTGCTGGAAGCCTCCTCCTTGCTGGTAGCCACCTTGCTGGTATCCACCCTGCTGGTGTCCACCGTCGTTGCCGTAGTAACTCATAGTGATAGGTTTTGATACAAAAAATACAATTCGAACTTGGGTATTATATTGATGATCACAGATGTCTCAGAGTCAGAAGCTACGAGATCGAGAGCTAAGATGCGGGGAAGCGAAGGTTATATAAACTTCCTTGAGCCTCCAACAATGGGGTCAACGAAGCTTGTGATACATGTACGGATCTCCGTACCTAAGAATATTTACACCGCCGCCATGGTGGGGTGAGGCTTATGAAAGTCTCGACTCAGAATGTCCGCGCGTATCCTCTCTTTCGATCCAATCGGGAACACCGCGTCAAGGTTCACGGCCCACCGCGCAGACACAGCCCCGGGAGTCGGCACGGCTCTTGGTATGTAAACGAACACGTTAAAGTCTGGGCACTCTCGAGCCCTTGCCACGTAGCTTGTTCTGATGTTTCTAAAAGCTTCTGAACCAGGCCAAACAGACCCAGAGGGATGCACAATGGGACCATCAGGAGCCAAACGAGGCCCGCCACAAAGCCCCTGATTGTCTGTCAGGGCCCCCTTAACAGCGCCACGATGAGCTCTTTGCCCTGCATCCCAAGATGATAGGACCCTGCTGCCGCCTGAGGACCCCTTCCCCGCACAGTGGCTGGAGAGCAATGGCGTCAGAGGCCTTGAAAGGTAATATCCGATGTTGTTTGCGTAGGGACCAGCCGAAGCAGTGGCAATCGAAAGCCACCGCAGTCATCGGCATGCAGCGCTCGGTAAAACACATGCCTGTGAGGTATTCGCATTTAACAATATCCTAGAGGGCAGTGTAGCTATGAACGAATCAATCGTGCGAGTGCGAGTCCGATTTCCGAATCTCAACACCTCGAAATTGTGTCAAGAGCAGCGTGCAGCCCGATATGTACAGTAATCATGAACAACAAGTTGTAAATTAAACCCGAGGGCTCCGGGACGCCCGACTGAGTTTCAAGTCGACCCTCACCATCTGCGCTAAGCGTCTGCGGAGCCCGACCTCATTCTCGTTACCCGCCATCGCCGCTTCGTGTTCATCGATTGTCGGGCGGATCCAAATTAGATCGGCGTGCTCGGGCCTGATGAACTTGGTGCGCTTGAAGATCTTCCAGCCGCAGAACAAACAGATCGCGAGGAATCCCATGGTGTAATTGCTGAAGAAGATGCCAATATCCCACCGGCCCCTTAAGAAGATGGCATACCCATAGAAGATCTCCACCGCCATGAGCCAGACCAAAGCAACCCAAGTGCCATAAGGCTGGAGATATCCCCGGTAGGGGAGATCAGATCTGTTGAAGTTCTGGGCTTTCAAAGCTTGGTAGAAGAAGAGATAGTTGACGCAAATAACGATATAAGTAACCAGAGTTCCGCCCGTAATAAGATTTGTGAGCCTTTCAGGTCAGCTCATGTTGTTGCATGCATCACGTTGCCATCGGAACAAGCCGCAGGGAAGATGGACCCTCAACTTACCAAGTCAAAACCTTGACAGAGCCACTGCCTAACTTGAGAAACGAGAGGCAGGCGAAGGCGAGTGTAACAAACAGACAGTAGATGGGAACACCTTGCTTGGTGCATTTCGTGAGGAACTTGGGAGCATGGCCATTCAACGCCAACCCGTAAAGACTGCGAGATGAGCAGTAGACGTATGCGTTGCCGGCCGAATAGATACTCGTCAACAGTAACGCGTTGACCAAATGGGGTAACACGCCGATATTCATGTTTTTCATGGCAATGACGAAAGGTGAGGCTGCTCCGGTACCCGTCTCGCCTGAGCTTAGAACACTTAGTAGTGTCGGGTCGTTGGCCGGCAGGACGATGCCAACACACAGCGCACCACCAATGAAGAAGATTCCGAATCTCCAGTAGACTGACTTGAAGGCTGCTTTCATGGTTGTGCGAGGCCGCTGCGCTTCGCCAGCAACGGTGGCCAGGTATTCGGGGCCGACAATGGTGAAAGCAGCTTGCCATAGCGCGGCGAGAAACCCATGAAAGCGGCCCAAGTCGCCATTCTCAATGTACTCAACAAAAGGGCCCTATTCTTTAAGTAAGCAATTGACACTACAGCATCGACAGGCGTGAATGAAAGAGGTCATCGTGTCATACAGGCTTGGACCAATTACGGAATCCGTATGCATCACGCTGCGGATTACCTCCAACCATAGTGATGAAGGTAAAGAAGAATAGTATTCCAATGAGGAGAAGTTTGCCCCCTGCTAGCCAAAACTCTGTTTCACCAAAATACTTGACCATAAGTGCATTGCAAAGGCTGATAGGGGGTAGTTTAGTAAGATACCCTTCGACTCCAACTGACAAAATGGGACATACGCGTAGAGCACGATGCAAACGGTAATTACCGCAGCTGAAGGAATATCGTCTCTCCAGAAAGTCAAGACCATGTCCAACGCGGTGATCTCAAATGGTATGAGAAGCGCTTCGAAGAGGAAGAAGTTCCAGCCGATCATGAAACCCCAAGCGTCATCAACCCAGGCACTGGCGTGATGAATGAATGCAGCACTTATGGGCATGAAGACGGTCATCTCCGCAAGTGAGTTGTTTACTTGGGCAATGACCAAGGCGTGGAGTACGAATGCAATGAGTAGACTTGCTGCTCCTCGCATGAGTCCGTACCCGATGCTTACAAATAGGGCAGTGCCAATAGAGCCACCGATAGCTACGAATTGGACTTGGCGCGGAGTAAGATGTCGTTGTAAATGGTCGGGAGTGTGTAAGATTTCCCCGTTGGCCACTTCAGTCTTGTCACTGGTTTTGGAATTCATCTTTGTGGCCGAGGCCTTTGGCTCTGAGGCGATTGACGGGGAGCTCATGTTGCGCAGCAAAGCAGAGTTGACACAATGCTGATGATGATGATGCGATAATTTCTGGGATATTGCGGATCTCAAGACTTCTGTAGCAGCCTTCAAAAGAAAGATAAGTGAAGTTTGAATGGCATACGTCTTAGATTAGGGGACTCCTCAGCTTAAGAATGCCAGGAAATCCTAGCGTGGACCATCGAAGGTCACTGTGAGCAAGGAAGAGAGTTGGCAGGACCTATCAATAATTGCCAATTACAACCTACCCCGGATTGGCCCCATCATTTGGAACACACAATGCTCGGACGCTAGACATGGCTTCGGGTATGGGTCTAAGGTGATATGCCTGGTTTACCGAGGACTTCGTGTATCTAACTAGGTGGTATTCTTATCCGTCTCCCCAACCCCACGAGAAGGCATACGGATTTCTCCAATACCTTTCCTGCAAAACGCTGCAGCATTTTCAGTTGCAAATTGTCTAGATTTCCATTTCGGAACTTGTTTGTTGATAGCTTCTCGCACATTGAATTGCCAAGTTGAAGATGAGCAACCTGCAGCATCGAGCTCTCAAGCCAGACTCTACCGAAAAAGGGTTTGCTAGCCTTCGTGTGGGGTAAGGAGCTGAAGATAGACAGAAGCGCGGAAACCATTAGGTCCAACTTTGGACTGCGATCGCCTTGTGGAAAATCCCCATTCGGAAGATCTAGCCGGTAGGTGTGGGAATTGGCGGCTTCACCTAGTCTCGGGTGACATGGGTCGGGTAGCCGTTGTTGACTCCGGGCGACAGATCCGGTATTATTGACCTCGAATGCAGACGATAGACCCTCGGCGTCTCGAACACTAATGGGAGATTATGGCTATGATGGACTCACTCTTTGATAACAGATTCGCAATGTTATACTTTCGGGGTCTACGCCGGAAGCATCTGCACTTAGATGCCAGGGCCTATGATTCATCATAACGTACATATCACGCGGCACAAATACAAGGAGCCTCGACCCATCGTCATACCCATCAAACGCTCTTGAAGATCAAACCAATTCTCAAACATCAAGACTATAGAGACGCAATGCGGGACTCTGAACTTCAAGAGATATCGTCGGCTCTTCGTGCCGCCCGTATCAGCAAAGAGCCGATCGAACCCCCAACCAAGAAATGGACGAGTCTCGATCCTGATAGCGCCTTTGAAGTCCAAAAGGTCACCGTCAAGAACGCAGTCAGTCAAGATGGTGACAGAGTCGTTGGATATAAACTGGGCAACATCGCAAAGGTCATGCAAGACGCTTTTGGCCTCGACCAACCCGACTATGGCTTCCTCCTCGCGAGCACTTTCATCTTCGAGGGAACTGTTCTGAGCCTCAAGGATTTTATCAAGCCTTATGTCGAGCTTGAGCCAGCTTTCGTACTGAAAGGCCCTCTAAGAGGACCAAATGTCACTGTCGCCGACGTCATCAACGCCATAGACTACGCCATCCCCGCGATAGAGATTATCGACTCTAGGGTACGAGACTGGGCCATTGACCTCCCGGACACACTGGCCGATAACGGATCAACCGGTGCCGTCATCCTAGGTGGCTCGCCTCGCCGGCTTCCCGATCTCACTTTGAGCAACACCAGAGGGACGCTACGTTTCAATGATAAGGAGGTCATGTCGGGCAACACCAGAAACGTACTTGGCAATCCACTGTCCGCCGTGGCATGGCTAGCGAATAAACTTGCAGGGTACGACGTCGGGTTCGATGCAGGGCAGGTTATCTTGCCTGGTAGCTGCCTGCAGGCGGTGCCAATGCAGGAAGCTGGTCGCTGGTCTTGTACGTTTGAGGGATGGGGGACTGTCGAGTTCGATGTCGCTGAATAGCTGTCAATATGTCACATTAGCAGGCAGGATTCAGTCGCATGGAATCTTTTCGATAGGAATCCATAGAAAATTGCAGTCAGTCATTTGATCACAGCCAGGATACACGATGTGAAGATAGCGCACGCAGTTCACCTCGCACCATAACGCATGAGAAATTTGTCTAAGCATGACCTGCTGGAAGATTTATCGTAAGGTTAAGCGGCATGATTCGGCAAAGAGCCTCCGAATACGAAAGATCCGCTCCCTGCGAAAGTGGTGGTTGTCGAAAGAAACAGAGGCACGGAGGTTTGTGGTTGAACTTACACGTCGTCCAGACATACCCGGAAGTGGTTAGCAAAAAGAGAGACAAACCTAAGATAGTGACCAGACACGCTGTTCCGAATCCTGATAAGTCTCCCGACGCCCTGAAAGCCGAGCCGATCCCTGCTCCCGATCCCTGTAGACTAAGTAAGGTCACTAAAGTAGCTCAATGCTGGAGAACCAAGTCCAATCAATGGCTGTCATCGCGATCGCATCCAAAGATAGCCCGCGTAGACCATAAAACTAGTTGTCATTACGGAGTATTTCAGGTCCAACTCCGTGATTACTTGTTATAACTGAAAATGGTTGGCAGAGAGGCTGACGTCGAAGATAACTCATAAGACTAGGTAGCGACAGCATTGTTGGAATGATGAAGAACTGGGCTCCATTTAGCACCTCTCCTGGCCCTATCCCCGAGAGCCATCTTGTCACAAATCCGGAAGGGATCTTAGCCAAACAATAGATATTAATATCGGATGGCTGACGGTTTGTCCACTCTTTGAGAGAGCGCTAACCCCTTACTAAATATGCGGTTGTGGTGCCTTGAATGCCAATTCCGGCTGCAGCCCTAGAGCTGCCACTCGTTCGCCGTAAATGCTGCTCAAAACTGAGCTTATTCCCTAATACTGTTCTGTCGATTTTGCGGGGTAAAATACTTGTAACCCCGCCTCCCGGCAAGCCCTGCCTGTCCAGTCCTAGCTCCTAGTCACACGACACTACCGGACACTATCTGATGTGTGGATGGCTGACGTTGTCAACCTCCCTGGTATCTTGACGTTCGTGATACGTTCGAGACCTCGCAAATGAAGTCGATACCATTTCTTGAGTTACAACTTCATCCACCCAGCCTCTGCACCCAGACTCGCGCATATTTGCGCCCTGGAAGATGTCACCCGCAAGTAGAGCAACTAGAGATTCCGAAAGAAGGAAGCTGAGGCGAACGACAAACGCGTGAATCCCAATCCTTGTACCCATATTCTAATTGTGGAAGAAACCGCTGACAGCATGCTAGATGTATTAGCTGTCGACAAAGTAAGATCAAATGCTCTGGCGAGCAGCCGTGCGCAAATTGCCAGCGGCGTTTAATGAAATGCGAGTACTCGGAAGGAACAAACATCACGGTCAACACCGAGAGGTGTGTAAAGATATCCGAGATTTTACGACTAAAGTCTGATGAAGTCTTGAGAGGAAGTTCAGGGCGGCAAAGGCTTGGCTCAGAACAACAATCGACACCAAGAAGCAAGCGGTCTCGCGGTGAAGCATTTGGATCCGATGACGAAGACTATAGTCAGTACACCAAAGCTCCTTTTCCAACCTGTGATTATGAGCTAATCCATGAGTTGTAGATTCTCAGTCGGTTGAGTGTAGGTCATCTCAGTTGCATGACTCTTCTGAGTGCGTGTACACAAGCCCTTTCACGTTGCCCTCTACGACTATCAAGAACACCCACAAGAACAAACGCAATTGGAGTAAGTCAAGGTCTGAGGTTGGAAGGGCGGTCGTACTGACAATACGTGCATCAATAGTTTGGCTAGCTCCATCATCAACATGGTCTTTCACGGCCCGTCTCACGCTAATGATGGCTGAGAGACTCCAGGTTGAAACCCCATTCAGTGCGCCTAGCTTTCTCAATGACGAGATATATCCCTTGAGGTGGAAAGCCTCGACGGTAAATGGACAACCAGACATCAGTGGACTTCCATCCATCGACCATGCTATTTATCTCTTCAACACCGTAAAGTTTCATCTTGGCCAGAATTATCAACTTATTGACGAGGCAAACTTCGTCAAAAATCTAGAAGAATTCTACTACGGCCTGGCATCCAAGAAAGCGGCAGAGTCACCTCTATGGTTTGTACAATTCTTACTCGTCTTGTCCTTTGGGCAAGCTTTTCTTTCACGGTCAAAGGACTCAAAGGAACCGCCTGGTGCAAAGTTCTTCGTTCGGGCCATGGCGCTGCTACCAGAGCCGAACGCCCTGTGGAAAGACAGTTTGCTAGCCATCGAGGTGTTGGCCCTGGCAGGTCTCTATCTGTATTCGATTTATCAGAGAGAATCTGCTCAATTATACGTGAGTCTCCATCATCCAGCCTTGTCAATCAAATGGTTCATAACTCATCTGATTCAAATTGACAGATCGCTCAAGCGATTCGGATAGCTCAACTGGAGGGGCTGCATACCCAACTTCCTGAGGATGCACTCGGGACTCAAGCAGTTGCTCGTTGCCGCAATCTCTGGTGGACTTTGTACATTATGGATCGACATTTCTCCTGCTCAGTCGGTGTCCCCATGAATACTCAAGACGCAGACATAACGACTATGCTTGATCCCCCGAGTATATGCTCTCAGCGTGATGCAACGCTTGGCCTCCAAGTCAAGCTCTCGCGTTTGCTATCATCAATCATTACTAGTCAGTCCCAGCTGTATCTCACAGAGGCTATTCTTACTGACCTGTCATCTTTAAAGCTATCTACAGATCCGAGAAGACTCCACTTGGGGATTTTCTTACTTCGACAAAATCTATCCTCCACACCTTGGCTGGTCACGCACAGGAGATTGAGAGAATAACTCGATTCAAGTTCCAAAACTCGGTGGATGCTATGCCAAAAGGAACAAGAAGCATTACCTTGTTATACCATCAGGTGAGTAATTGACTTCATTCACTTAGCCACCTTGCGACTGACAATGGTCTCCTTCGAGTGTGTTATCATGGCTACAAGGCCCCTTTTTCTATCCGCCTTGAAACAAGAGCTGGAGAGCTTTGGATGGGGTGGAAGAGACCCAAAAACTTTCTCTCCGCCCTTGAAGACTCTGGTCGAGACGGGTATCAAATCAGCAGTGAAGACACTTCAAATTCTGTCTGGGGATGACAGTCTTTTAGGTAATCATGGGCACAGTCTGACCGTTCCTGTGATACTCCAAATTATACTCGCTAACCGTCAAACCACCACCAGAGGTCTTTCTGCCATTTGAGTTAGAGTATGCTTATGGAGCTGCCATACACTTGACAATGGCCAACGCACTCTTTCCAGCGGTAATAGGCGTCGATGGAGCGGCTCGGATGGAACAGACACATGCCATATTGGATGACATGTTTAGCAAAGGAAACCTGGTGGCCGAAGTTCGCAAGGCAGAGCTGGTCCATTTGGAGAGTTTGTTTCGCAAATTCACGCGGCGGGTACGCGACCAAGACTTTGGAGATTCTATCCTATCAACTGCTAGAACGCGTCAGTACATCCGTCCCAATATTTTCTCTCGCCTCCCGCATTTAGCCTCCCTCCCATGTCTAGTCTTTCTCTAATTCCCGCTTTATCTTGGACCTTCAATAGGCGGATATAAGTGAAATAGGGTTAGACAGATGCGATTCGTTGTTACTCTGTAGGAAAGTACGTACGTTCTTACTGACGCCATATAACAGTCAATGGGATACTATCGGGCTCGATTGAAGCAATCATCGATCCAAGCACATCTCAGACTTTCGTCAATGAATCTGACCTAGTATCTACGACGACGTTGAGTGAGTCGCAACCGCTCGCGAGTGTTATTTCGGATACGCCGGATAACACCGAGTTTCTCGAGACTATCGGTATCTCTTCGGATGATTTCCTTTCAATTGTAGAACTGATGGGGAGTGAAGATGATCTTCCATTCTCAATGTTGGACTTGGGACAATTTTGGAAGTGATCAGTGGCGCGCAGGAGGCAGGAACTTCTAGGTCCGCTAGTGGATACCAAAACCGATCAGACTCTCTTGAACTACATGTAGTTTCTCAGTCTCATTGTATAATACATTATTGATTAACGCCATCTTCGTCATTAACTAAAAAATACCTTTGATCGCTATAATCTTAAGTCTTCGATCCTTCAGTCCTTATTCGTAAACTGTGGTTAATTACCACCCCGTGTGGTAGTATCCGTCCCAACTTTGATGTTGTTGAACGTGGGGTTGTTGCATGTTAACTGGCTGATACACGGGGCTGTGTTGGTATCCAGAGTTTTGCTGCCACATGGGCGTTTGTACCTGTCCAGGAGTCGCTGGTGAAGATAACGTTGTGGATACAGACATTGCTGACATGGTCGAGGTGTGCTTCATGTCGTACATTGAGCCTCTGTCGAGGAGGGGAACTCCCATATTCTGGTCAGGCTGTGTGACATGCGTCGCGTGGTAGTCGGCAGGCATATGGCCTGACAGACCCTCCTCGAGTCCAACTAATTCGTCAGTCAGTAACGTACGCAAAAGCACCATCCTGTTGTGGACTCACAGATCAGTATGTATAGCAGCTCTGCGATGACTGGTACCCAAGCTGCCAGGGCAAGTACTTGTCCAAACGTCCACTTGTCGTTTTTATCAATACCATCAGCTGCGTTGATGATCTTCTGGCGGAAGTGAGTGAAGTAGCCCAGTATCCCCCACATGACCAGCAAATTGATCCAGGCGACCAGCATTCGCCAGCAAGACCTCCACCTCTTGACCCATGGCTTATCAATCATACCGGGAATCTTAAATCCAGTGGTGACGAACAGCGTTAGGAGGAGCCATATCATCGGCAACGCAATGACCAAGAACTGCGTGGCTTTAACGACGGGCCAGTATTGCGAGCCACGTTGGTCACATTCAAAGTTTCTGTGTCCACTCTTTCGTTCTTTATAGTCTATCTCCGCTCTCGGCGCCAGATAAACTACAGTCACGCTCAGACCCCAAAGGAGGGCAAGGACAGATCGATGAAGCCACTTGCGATGACCATCGTGCTTAGCTAGGGCATAGAGCAACATGACCGGGAAGACAGAGTAGTTGGACGCGATCAGTGCCAAGGCTTGCTCGTAAATCGCATCCGCTGACGGGAGGTCGGGGTTGATCTCTGATCTCTCCTTGAAGTTTGTAGCGGCCGAGTAGACGGAAGCTCCTAGCATGGCCACTGCGATCAGCATTGAGCCGCTGAGGAACATGTCGAGCGATCCGCGGAACGAGTCGAGAATGCGACCGCTCAGTCTTTGTTTTTGCTTCGGTCGCGTCTTCTCCCAGAGATTCTTGTTGAAGTGGCGCCGTACTTGATGAATCGTGAATGCGACAAGGTACATCGTTGCTAAAATGGCTTCGAGGTAATAAGATACTACGACCTTCACGTTGTCAGCCAACATATCCTTGCTCAGAATAGCGACTCCAGGTATGCTGTTCTTACTCCGATGCCGCAGAGATCTTGGCTCCCCGTATATCCGACGGCCTTGCAGAATTCGGCCTCGCAATGCTCCTTTGGGCCCCAAAGAACAGTTTCGTTGAATCGTGTACTGAAAAGGTAGTATGATGGATCACTCGAGTTTTCCGGGTATGGTGTATGATACATATTGTAGGCGAACCAATATGACACCTCGGAGTAGGTAGTTTCGTATCCCTTCGGCATAGCCGTTGAATAAAGTGTCATTGAAAGCTGAACACTCATTCCTCGAGTCGACTTTGGATCCCAAGGATCGGGTTGAAGCATGGCAGCCAGCCATTGACCCCAATTTGTGCAGTTGCGGTTGAAGTCTAGTTGATCCCAGGTCAGGTTCCCGGAGCCTTTGACCTCCGTACCTGGGACCCAAAGGTCCATGGTCTCGGGATCATAAGAACTCATTTTCGAGTAAGCGCAGCGGCTCTCACGCTTGTTCGAGGTATCTCTTCGCGAAAACTGAACGTAATGTGCAAGAAACTGTGGATTCGAGTGGGGGACAAGCAGCAATCCATGGCACGGGGCACAGAGACATTCTTAAGGCTGGCATGATCAGGATATTGAATTGCTGCCCATCCTGGCGGCCACAATCTCCGTCTAACAGCCGCCCTCTTTCTTTATCGTGGGCGTCTAGGAATGGCTCTGAGAATGGGCCGGTTCGACGCAGCTGAGCGCCAGGGCTGACAGCTAAGACAGATAAGGAACGAATCATCGCGACTAAATTACTACGCGGGATGACTAGCGTAAGCCACCATCCCCAAAGCGACTTACGAGCTGCCACTCCTAGCACGTTTCCAATAAGGCTGGCCATTCACTGCATTCTCAGACCGCCATCTCGCTTGCGAAACCTCCGCTAACGGGGGTTGGGCAGGGAGCTGTGGGAGCTAGACGTTGGGGGCCGGGGGAATTATGTTGTTGCCTACGGCTGGAGCTCGGTCTTTGATTCAGAACCGCTCTTCGGGGTCGCTTTTTGCGGTCGCAGTGGGCGGGAAAGAGTCTTACTTGCACGGCATGACTTTTCTATTGTATTGGGCGGTTATCCCTATCGGTCGACGAGGCTGCCAATCTTCATGCTAGCTGCGATGCTGTGTCTGTACGTGTCTTTGCCAGTTGGATTTTCTCTTGATGCCGACACCCTTCTCTTGTGAATACTTGCATCCGGCAAACGGGCAGAAATAACCCGCTCCATCCGAATGCTGCTCTTTGCAGTGTCGGTCGAGGTCTTTGCTGTATCGGAAAGCCCAAGAACAGTCTTTCACTCTACACTTGAACGGCTTCTTATGCTTGATCTTACAGCGACTGCATACAGATCAGCAATTATGTTTTCTCATGTCGGCAGTCTGAGGATGGCGTACTTCACCTCCCAAGGCCTTGCGTAAACACCCCCACACTCGTCACATCGTAATTCAGTTGGCTGTGTGTCTTCAGTGCTCTGGACAGGGCTCGGCGCGATCTGTTCCGAGCCTGACTGGCTGCCATGCTCGTGATCTTCTTGGTTTTGGTGCAGTAGAGACGGGCTCGGGGCAACTGCCCCATATTCCGGGCATGACCTTGGCCCATTGTTACTCTGCTCCCCATCATGCTCAACAGGCTCAGGTAAACTTGACGATATACCCCAGTCATAGTCACCTAGCGGCCCGCCACTTCCGGTCTTTACCCACGACGGATCTACGGTCTCAAAGCGATGATAATGATGTTCTCTTGTTTGACCGGTCGAGCCTTGCGAGGTCGAACTAGATATGTAAACGGACTACCAAACGAGTTTAAGGAGTGTTGAGCCTGTTGAGAAAATCTGATGGCAAGAGCAGTGTTTTTATGGCCAAGAGGGGAGAGCTAGAAAAGAGGGAAGGAACGGTCGGCGAAAAGTTAAAAAGAACGAGTGGCTTAGCACCACCGTGCCGGCCGTAACAAGAAGAGTAAAAAGAGAGTGAGTCCTCGAGGGAGGAGACCCCTTTTATGCTCAAGTGTGCGTTAGGAAAGCGGCAAGTGCTCAATGGGTTGGCAATTGAGTTCTGCCAGGTCATCCATACTATTGGTTCCGAATAGCTGTAGGCCTCAACTCAAAATGAAGCACCATCTCTCACCGCTCTGCAGCCCGAACGTATGAATTGCACAGGCTTCATCCGATAACAAGTTTGAGGCAGTAAACATCAGGCTGTCCTGGCTTATGAGTTTGGTCTTACCATCTGACAACCTACTTTACCCCAGGTAGTGAGCACCGCAATCAGCACAGGCTCGACTGAACAGTCAGAGGTAAAATTGCTGCCGGTTAGGACGGGCCGGAACTCATCTGCTTGCGTATCACTGCAAGCCCATTTAATGACGTATTTTCTTCTACTTGCTTCAGTAAGTATGGTGTTTCCACAGTTCGAGCGGGAACTATGCCACCAGGACCATGATGCGGCTGGGGACGAAGAACTCTAAAGGTGTGATTAGTGCACTACTTGAACCGGTGCCTGGTCCGCCAACGCCTAACCTGAAGTGTCTCGGCTATGCTAATTGAGGACTAAAATCGTCACTGAGAATGTGAAGAAGGCTATGAGAACGGCCGGTAGCGTGAACGGCCGTTTTGCGTGACCAGCGATCGGTCATGACAGTGTAGGATATTTTCAAGGCTGACTGGGAATATGATTGAGCTGTTTGGTTTAGCATCTCAGCCTGGTTTTGCGCCATGAGCCATACTACGTTTCCAAAGATATCTAGTGCAAAGAATGGCACACGATGTGGCTGTTTCATTAGCCGGACGCTAAAGTAGGCCGTTATCCGTCATATTTTACGTCAAGTTGAGACTAAACATGCAGTTGAGATGAGAACTGCTCTATTCATAAGAGTACTTTTACAGGCCGAATTTGACAAGGATTATAGGCCATTAATTTCTTGTGTTACCACAGCTAGTATGCAAGCCTCTTGCAGGGCAAAAACTGCACTCTCTAGAGCCAACACCGGACAAGGGCTCTTCTCAACACAATCTCAGCTTGATGCGAACCTTTCGAGCATTCAAAGGCACATGGAGTAATATTCGGTCCCTTAGACCGGCATTCAAAGGCTTTTAGCTCCTAAATTTGGCCAGACATCACGATTGATCATTTTAGTTAGGCTGTAAAGGAAACTGCAATGAACGAATCCTATGTCTTCGGCCACATGAAGGCGAGCATAATATTTGAACTGAGTAAGGTGAAATCCTTGCGTTGTGAAATAAGTTTCTTGTACTGTGGAAACGGCGAACAAAGAAGATTTATGGTCTTTCTTCACGAACGTTTTGACTCTGTCTAGACAAGTCATTCTCCAAGGGCCATGATCAGAGAGCATTGTCTCACATCCAACTGTCACAAAGCATTTGTATGATAACTTCAAATGCTGGTTCTTTACCATGGATGCTGGTGTCGCTCAGTCAATCTGATTCGACTAAGAATTTGAACTCGACAATCTACAAAATTCTGGCAGCTTCCTACATGAAATATGTTCCGAATTGGATAATAGCAACATCACCTCCTTACAGAAGTTACTTTAAAGACTGTGATGCTCACCTAGAATCCACAACTTCTGAACTTTCGCATACATCCTCAAAATGGCGCCTCATCCCGAAGACTCCTCATCTGCCGCTGAATACGCCGAACGCGTCTTCCAACACCTAGAAGATAGCCGCCCCTCTGACGCACCTGCCGATTTCTCTGACTCCAATCCTGAGAATCCCAAAGTCATTCAAAGATCGAAGACTGAGAAGCTCAAGGCCCAGTTGCTTCAGCGTAACAAAGATGCCTCTGATGAGTCCCAAATTCTTTACAAATCTGGTAAGTCCCGCCTCCAACACACAGGTTCCTTCGGCGACAGTCGTGTGAAGAAGCTCGTTGCCAACTACGAAGCTCGATCTCACCGTCCCATGGAGACAGCTCAAGAATCTGTTCGACGTAAGCGTGCACTGGCACAAGATACCAATATCGCAACTGGCAATGAAAGTGAGGAGGATGAGAAGGATTGGATCAAGGTTGTCGATGCGGACTTAGATTGAGTAGAAGGCTATCCTAATTCTGATAGATAAGTAATGCTGCAAGCATTCGGGTTTCTGGCGTTTTATACTTTGGATCTCAATTTGTTCTAAAAGGTAACGGGATTTCTTCAATTACTTGAGAAACCACAATCTTAGTCATGAATTACGAGAGTCCGAAGATTGCAAGTGACCTTAATCTCTGAATAGCTGTTTTGGAAAAGCCTTGCCCACCTACTCCTCCTAGGCTTTCTAGGACTTCTGGCTCATGTGCACTGCTCTAGTGTGGCCCGCTATCGTCTTTGCAGAATGTGTGTCTCTTGGCTCCCGATTTGATAGACCGGGCATTGTATCTCAAGGGGACCAGGCAGACAAGCAGGAAGGCATGTAAGCGTCTTCTTCTTCATATTATACAGTCGATCTCGAAACACCCTGTTCTCTCCATCGAAGGGCTGAAGGTATAGAGCACGCAAGTTATCTTTAGAAGGGGAGAAAATTGGGGCATGCCGAGTTTGTAGGATACCTGAACATGATGTCAGAAGAGTTGTCTTGACCTTACGCACTGGCCTGGCGACCCTATGCTTGAGACCCTGAATCCTAGGCTGGCATTGATTTGAGACGACAAAACACAAAGAGCTTGTACTTGGGGTCATTAGACATCAAGGCTGCTCAAGGAACTACGGGACACAGTGCAGGCCCCCTTGTCTGTTGTCTGCTATATGCCTTTCTCTAGCATAGCTGCCTGTCTCATTTGCTGTTCTGAAACTTCCTATGACTTCTTGGGGGTTCTTGAACTTGGCTCGATTGCATACTTGACACTATATAGATATAGAGCAACCTTCCACCCAGAACTGATTTGAGTTCGTCAAGTGGACTTGCTACTTCTGCAACTTGCAAGACGCATCCCCAAATTCGAGAAACATGCCGCCCACAATGGTGCAGCCCAACAATGACGAAGACGACTACGTCTTCCCTGATCTTATCGAAGTTTCCAACGACGAACGCGATCATTCCCTTAGTGTCATCAACAATCCAGCATCCCCAATGTCCACAGGCTGGGCGATACTTGGGAACTCCGGCAGCTCCTCCGATGCCATATCTGAGCCCAATAGTGTGAAAGCCTCCCCGGACCGGTCTCTCCCAGCTGCTTCCAACAGAACCTTACCCCGTGAACTGGAGACCTGGCTACGTCCCGTATTGTCTGCGACTATCCCTAATACACGCCCTGCCCTCACGTTCCAAGAGGCACTTGATCAATCCGAGCCCACATCCTCGGCTTCCCAATCTATCGACTTGGCGACTCGGAAGCTGATTGACTGGGAAGGTCTCCTAGCTCGAACCTTTAGCCGCGAGGACACGAACTCCCCGGAAGCCGGTCCCTCGCAAAGAACCCCTCACCAAGTTGGCTTGAATCCGACTGGAGATCTTCATGAACAGGTTCTGCATTCCAACCGTATCTCCAAGCAGGACAAAGCTTTGGCTAACGAGCAATACTATCGACAGCTTCTCCGATCCCGTTCCGTCCGATCCAACTACCACGTGCGTGACCTCAGAGAACATGCTGGCAAGGTCCCGGACCCCGAATGGCGCTGGTGCGGCTTTCCGGGTTGCGACAACGGTGCCTGTCGATACGACTTCCTTTTGTCATGGGGGACCGGATACGTCGTCGCCCCTCTTGATTCAGGAAGAGACTGTGACATCCTGAAAGATCTTCTTGACGCCTTTGGCTCCCAGAACTGGAATTACATGGCGGAGCCCCACAGCCGGGTTTCGTTTGCAACGTCCCCTCCTGTCAGGAACGCCGTTGGCCAGTTTCTCATTCGCTTCAACTATCTGCAGGGTGCCGCTGTGGGATGGGACACGGGAGACTATCAAGCAACAGTGATGTATTTCACAGACATGCGCACCAAGAACTTCCCCGTATTGCACCCGCACAATATCGATAAGCTTCACAGCGAGATGGACAAGGAAATCTCGCGTTCGGACCGTGCTGTTGCCCCACGGCGTCTTATTCTTCAGTTCATCATGCGGCTCGAGGCATGGAGACAGCACCAGATCAAGCAAGGATATCCTTGGGACTGGCCTTTACACGATGCTCTCGATATGTATCGAACCATTCTCGAGACCTATCGACAATCCATCCACAAGGGGTTCTCGACTCTGAAGACTGCGATGCAGGCAGAGCAGGACAAGGCTTGGGTGCTCTGGTGGGATCGTCACCGTCCCTGGACCAGCTGTAAGGTTGCCTTTCTTTCTGCCCTCGAAGATACTGACAATAGTGACAGAGACAGGAGCTTGGGAGTTGATTCCAAAGAAAATAATGTTTCTGCTGCGGTGGTCTATGAAGGCGTGGGACAGTACAAGCCACATTGGTGGCCGAATTGGCCAAGAGCACCTGGGTTGGACGCATCTCTAAAGCTTTGAGATACTTTGGGATGGTAAGCATTTATTGATTTCATTAAGAAAGCAGTTAGTGCTGCTTCTGCAACGTCCCTAGCGGACTTGAGAATAGTGCCTTCGTATGAAGAGACAAACTCGTTTGTCAATACCGAACTTACATCATAATCATCAACAAGCTACCAACATGGCTAGACTTGTGATGCTGCTTGCTTCAATCTTTGTACAGAAGCCCTTCACCTTGCTGCCTTTAATTGTTAGAAATCACTTCTTTCGGTCGTGTCTTTGTCAGTTGCCCTTCGTCCTGTAAAGGGACACACGGTAGGTACCAGGATAAAGGGAAGCTTCTAGAGTTGAGAGATGGAAGCAGCAAGTAAAGCAGCTCCTCCTTATTCTTACTTTGATCTTAGGGTCTCCTGCAAACGCCTTCCTTCACAGAGATGGACCTGAAGTGACCCGCATCACAAGAGCCAAGCCGCACTTCCTCCCAGCCGCGAGCCTTAGGGCATGCGACTTCTTCAAGACGAACGGAGGATGGCTTGCCGACCAAATAGAAATCTCTTGCTGCTGAAGCATCCAAACAAACCCTCTCTCAACAATATTCTCTTAGTTCTCGACATTGCTGGAAAAGAAAATCTCTAAAAGTTGCAGCTCAACCATCGCCACAACCACCCAGCGAAGGCTCTCCATCTGAAGCAGAAGCCCAGGAAAAGAGGAATCCCAAGATGGCGTCCTACTGCCTCCAGGAGTTTCCTCGCGCCTCAGGCTCAGGCGGCGACGACGGCGGACCGGCAAGGAAGGAGCCCGAATCATTCTGCTGCCAGCTCGCTACTTCCACTCCCATCACTCGCCCCGAAGAATTCACTAATCTCATCGATCTCATCGTCAATCAATCCAAGGAGAACGATCCTGCCGCTGGCATTATCTTCGCATTTCTCAACTTCTCAAAGAGCAATTGCCTGTTCCCCCTGGCTTGCCTGGTCCACTTCTTCGAGGCATTCGTCCCTCAACCTATCATCACTTATCTTACAAGCGATTCTTGCCTCAGTGCCGCGAAGAGCATTGGTACCATCCTCATGGAGGCCGAGAAGTCAGAACAGGGACTTTACAAGGGCGCGAAGCGCAGCTGCTTCCCATCGACCGGCCGAAACCATTTCCTCCGCCTGATGAACGCATCTGGTCCCAAAGTTTGTCATCTCTCGATTTTCCCTTCCACCTCAATACCTCATTTTCTGTTCATCAGACTAATCTTCGTCGCAGCCCAAGGGTGAAAAAAGTGCAGATGGTGCCATTCACAGAGGCCTTCCCGAGCTTGATTATATCCTTTTTCAGGAAGATCTTCCTTCCTGTTTCGATCGTTCCAAGCGTTACGACAGCTTGCCCGGCGACCCGGTCAACTATCTCTTCTCGGCTCTGCCGCAGATCCAGGAAGACGACGCAGGCTTTAAAGGAAGCAACAAGTCTGCAGATTACAACCGCCGGTTCGCCCTGGCCCTCTGGCCCTATGCCAATTCTAGCATCGAGGAAATCGTCGCCAAGTCCGAGGACAAGGCCGCCTCTGACTTGTGGTGGGCCGCGCGCTTCGCTTTCTCTCTCTGGGATAAATCCGACTTGTCTATTCGATGCTCCTTCACCCAGCTTCTTGGCGAGATTGCCTTGTACCACAACTCTGAGATTGTCGATAATCCTGCCCCTGTCAAGCCAAATCATATTTGCGAAGCTATTGATGGTGGCCCCTGTCCCGGAGAGGCATACGTCCAGAAGCATAAGTGGTTGAAGTATGCCCGCTGGATTCATCGTGGAAGAAAAGATGAGGACGCCGATATCAAGGTCCGTCTGGGCAGCAAGTGTGACTTGAACGAGCTCTTGAGCATCGAGAAGTGTGTTACCTGCGGTCACGAGCGCCAGATCTCTCGCTGTGGAGCAAAGAAGCCCATGCACCACTGCAGCGGCTGCTATGTCGAGTGGTTTCCGCACCTTCGCCGAACTTACTGCGGCCCTAAGTGCCAGAAGAAGGACTGGAAGACGCACTTTGAGGAGTGTCAGCGTCACAAGCACTTCATCCGAGCCGTCTGGATTCTGAAAGGCATCGCGGACAAGTTCATGGCCGCGACCTTTTCTGGCCAGGCCGTTGATATCTCCCCGATCGAGATCCGTGATAACAAGACCAAGGCGCTCGACCTCAACGGCGTCCCCCGCTTCGCCGTCACCCCGGCTGCGTGTGCTGTTGGACCCTGGGTGGGTGCGCAGGTGTTCCCTCTCGGCAAGTCGTACTTGGCGGACAAGAGCAATGAGGACCGCGCGAGAGCATTGGCTTGGGATGCCGGTGACAACCTCTACTACCACCTTCAGACTATCATTCGTCAAATCGTCACCCGTAAGTGTCGCTCTCCGACCTGTGACCTCACAGTGTCTTTTTAATACCGTTCATCTCATTCGGGAGACGAACAGTAGGATGAACTAACCGATGGCAATAGCGCTCTGTGACGACGTGGTTGAGATGCAGATGCTCCTGCGCAATGCCAACAGTATTACCTCTCTTGCCGCTGATCGGTGCCGCGAAGGCCCCGCCATCCACACTGCCAAGGGCAAGGATCCAATGTTCTGGCCTCATCCCGTTCTCAATTGTCGGCTGAAGGGAAGCGACGACTTGTTCATCATCGACCTTCTTGGAGCCAAGTTCGGCTTTAACGAGACCCTCCTCCAGGGCGAGGTATGGGTCAAGTCTAGGTACTCCTCCAGAGTAGACAAGATCTCATTGGCGAAGATAAGGCTAACTAGGAAATGATACAGACTTGCGTACTGCGTTGGCTCGACGGTTGTCACGGACATGACGCCTCACTGGTTTCCCCGCGAGCAGCAGGGTCTCGTCTCTTGCCGTGACGAGGTCGCCTACACTTGGAGATCGTGCATCAAGACGTACATCGCCGCCAAATGGCCCAACGTTCCCGGACCCTTTGCGTTGTCGCATCTGAAGGAGCAATTGTTCAGGGAGAGGACTTACATGTTCATGGTCCACTCGGACGACATCTTCAGGGAGGCCACCAACCGTCTGCGCGAGGAGAGACTCTTCCGGCAGTACCTGGTCCACGACCCGAACCCGTACTCTCACGAGTTCGCCATTGGCGTTACCAACTGTCAGAAGGAGTGCGATGTCTACGAGAAGATCTGGATGGATCGGCGTGTGTTCGATGTCATCGTCAAGAATGAGCTCAGCGAGCAAAACCAGCTGCTGCCGGCGGGGTCCGAGACCATCCGCCTCGTCGCACTTTGGGTCGACCGCTTGATCAAGCACGGTCAGAAGGTCAAGTTTGACTCAGTCGGGCTCCTTGGACCTCGCATGGCCAAGCACCACAACATCTGTACCACGCACTCGTTGGACGAGCTTCGCGAGATTTCCACGCCCTGGCTCTTGTGGCATGGCATCTTCAAGGATTCATCCCAAAAGTTCTTCGAGCAGTGCAAGGGCATCGTCACCGACTACATCAATTCGAATGCGGCGACGCCCGATCAACTGCTTAGTAAAATGGCGTCGTCCGACGGCCTCGCCAAGTACCTGCAGACCTTGTCGATGGAAGATGCGCAAGAGTTCCTGGAGATTGGATCAATGATTGAGTCTCCCCATAACTCCGCATCGATCAAGCAGCTGCGAAATGAGCTCGAGAAGCAGGCTGGTGACAAGAAGTGAGGCAGTTCGTGAGATGAACTACGTTCGTTTCTTCTAGTGCCCGAGACACATTCCCTAGTAGGGATGGCGTAGCAGGGAACGGTACTTGGGAAGGATGATTTCGCTAGGAAGGAAACAGTCTTTTTGTGACTTTACAGAATACCCTTGAGCTTGGTAAATGGAAAAGGGAAAGTTGACTCTGAGTTTGCCGTCTGTTGAGGAAATGATGTGAGGTGAAGTTGAATGCTGAAGCGTAGTCAAATGAGTAGCTGTGATTGGCCAATGAGTGCTGACCGTCGATGTCGTGCACGGGCCATATGAAATTTGTCCGACTGGCGATTGAAGCTCGGGAGCTCCAGCAACTTTTTCCCATCACCAGGTGCACCCCATCACGCCGGCAGGACAGACATCTCCTGCTCTTCAGACACGTACGGCAACCTCCCAGACGAATATTGCAGACTTGCTACTTGGATTGATACTGACGAGTTCTTTCAGGATGCCACCGAGGTTACCACAACAGGCCGCGCGCGCCCTGCGCAGGCTGGCGACGACTTCAACCCCCATCACCCGATCCTTCACCACCACGACCTCCTTCCTCGCCGCCCCAGCCGCCGCAAGCCTCCGTCTCCCCGCCGACTATGTTCCCACGACGAAGCCTCCCTCCGCCCGTCCCCCCGAAACCCGCAAGTCTCAGCTCATCAGGACCTACACCTCCCTCCTCCGCACGACGCCCCTGATTCTCTTCTTCCAGCACAGCAACCTGACGGCAGACGAGTGGTCTGCCGTCCGCCGCGAGCTCAACAGTGCCCTTGTCGCCGCCACGCCCGCGGGAACCAACAGCCCCCTCGACGGCCGCGAGGTTCACCTCCAGGTCCTGCGCACGCGCATGTTCAACGTCGCGCTCAAGCTGGCCGAGTTCTACGACCCCGAGGTCGCCAAGGCCAAGGCCGGCACGCGGACGGGGCCCCGCGGTCCCCTGGTACACGATCTGAGTATGGCGGCTTACGAGGCGATGAAGGACTTTGAGGTCCCCGAGGACTCGGCCTACGCGCAGATCTCGCCGTTGCTGTGCGGTCCCACGGCGGCGCTGGTCTTCCCCGCCGTGTCGCCCGCGCACCTCGCGGCCGCGCTCAAGATCCTGGCGCCAAGCCCGGGCAAGTTTGCGGCGCCGCCGAGGAAGAAGAACCCGGGGTACTACGAGCCCCTGTGCCAGAGCGCGCTGCAGAAGCTGCTGCTCGTCGGTGGACGGGTCGAGGGCGATGTGTTTGACGTCGATGGCGTCAAGTGGGTTGGCGGTATTGAGGGTGGTCTCGACGGGCTGCGGGCGCAGCTTGTGCATATGCTCCAGAGTG